ATCTTGGTGCATCTCTACCACTATTGGCACAACACTTACAGTTCGGGATGAATTATATTTTTTTAAATACAACTTACTCATTGACACTAGAAAAAATGTTAATCTGGAGTCATACGCATGGTGCTCATCCATACGGCCAAATGGAATTGATTTTCTAGCTTTCCCTCCAGATTTTGTAAAAGAAATTAGGCAGATAGAGGGAGGGATGAAGGGGCTTAACCTGTTATCAGATATTTGATCTTGATTCTTTTTTTAAAAATCCATCTCAAAACAATGCATGGGCCATTTTTATGCATACTATTATGCTCAAAATAAGTTGAAATTGCCCATTCAGGATTTGTTTTAAAAAATTTATTGCCAAGATTTCTTTATTTTACTTCTAAACAAAAATATTGAAAACGTCTGCTGAGAGCCAAAAGGGCATTGAGTGATATTACTTTAAAACAATGATCCATTCTGACTCTAAACAGTCAAAGGATGAGAGGGAGACAGGCAGGAAAAATGAAGCAGGAAGGACAGAAAACTAGGAATCACTTTTGAGACAAATGTGTATTCTCGTCAACCATAGCATTTCGAAGTGATATACAGGAATCATAACGAAGTTTATTATGTTCTCAGAGGCTTTGGGACTACATATTGCAGAACCCAGGGGAGATTTACTCTCATAAATTCTCTCCCTCTTGCTAGATTCACACTTTGATGAATAGAGTGATGCAAAGCCAACATCCATTGAGGGAGTTAGGATCTCAAAGCATCCCTCTCTAGAGACATGAGGTCTGTTCTCATTAGCCTGAGTTTTGAAAGTAGCCCACTTATTTGTATGCAGGGAAAATAGATTGATCTCAAGTAACTCAAGCTGATTTGCATTGAAGATGCGGGGCCCGGAATTTAGTTTAAACTATTACCAAACAATATATAGGGCTTGTTCATAAAATAGGACACTGTTGGCCAATTATTTGCAGGCTTCGCCAGTAAGGACACACTTAGACTATGCTCATCCTTACACGCTGAAATTCAGGTTAATTTCTTATCATATGAACAGGCACAAGGTCTTGAAAGAGATAGTTGCGACACACACATGCATCCAAGGGTAAGTTCATGGAGCTCAAAATCGTTCCCTCCCACATATTGGAAGGAGCTACTTGTATTTTGGAACCCCATGCATGATCATTCAACCTATAAACCAGAGCAGCTTCCAGTGACATAACCATCTCTCTTAACTGGCTATGGGAGCAGGGATTGCTTGACTTTAATGGCTCAATGGAAACAGGAACTTCAAACTTTTTTCTCAAGACCTGCAGTCCAGAATCTGGCCAATTTAGTTTTAAACAATCTCCACCAATGCAATCTCAACCTAGCTACTTGCTGCATGCAGAAGATGATCAATCCCCAAATTTGTACTTTTGGTTTGCGCTGGGCATACAGCTCCGTGGATCACGCCATCTTCAGCTTGCAGCAGGTGGGGGAGAGACTACGAAATAAGATCAAACTAGCTGGCCAAATTCTGAACTAGGAATAGTGTTGATCGGTCGGTCACATATCTCAAACTTAAAGAGAAGGTTGAGTTCTGGGAAGAGGTGAAAAATAATTTGTGAGCATTACTCATTCTTATTATGCAAGTGTGGAAGAACATCAGTTAAGACATGTTCCCTGAAAAGCATGGCTCTTCAAATGCCTTCATCTTCTAAATATGCATGTAACATCGTAAAAATCGGGGGGCCGGCTTTTTACGCCACGTGTTCGTGTAGTCCCATATACATCTTTCTGTGCAAGTGTTTGTAACTTTACCAAGACTTGGCCACATTTCTTATCATTTTGATGATTCCAGAACTTTGCAATACACACAAATTCTTATATGCTAGATGATCAACCTTTTCTGGTCGGTTCCACACCGTTTCTTTCACAATGCAATCGCATGACCAGAACTCAACTTCATCTTTAAGGTTGTTTGGGCTAGTGGAAAGTCACCCATTGAGTGATTCGCAGCCAAGATCTTTCCAGGGAGTTGGAATCCCCAAAGCATCTCTTACCAGAGAGAGGGAGACAAATTTGATTGAGTGGCGACATCCATCAATGTATTTGGCTGATAGAGCGTAGTTTGCCACGGTCAGTCACAGGTTCTTCGACCACACGATAATGCTCGGCTGAAGATTTACTCCGCAGTCGATTGCCTACACCAACCGACATCAAATTTCAATCTCGGACTGTAATCCTAACTGTAATCCTAAACCTAACCTATGAGCCAATAGCAAACCTAATTCTAACCCTACGAAAGAGAGGCTGCAGCAAATATCACTGGTCAATGCCAGGTCATCTGGTCACTATACCTACATGCAGTGCAGGGTCTGAATGATCTTGGCCACAGACTACGTTTTTTATATAATGTAGCTAATGTCACAATTTTAAAGCTGACTCATTTAGCCTTGGATCAAGTTTCCGTGCATATGGCTCAAATGTCAATATTGTGTCTGGTTTTTGTAGACTATGTGTAGGTGGATCAATGCAACAGCTGGACCCTTTGCTAGTCTGTGTTTTTAGACTCTGATGAGCCAAGAGCTGTTTCACAGGTGTTTTGGTGTTGGTAGGAACTTGATTATGAATCTAGCTGTGGCATTCAATATTTTTAGGAACAGGAAAAAAGAATGTTGTGTACTTTTCCAGGACTGTGCATTTGTGTTATAATCTAGTCTTGAAGTGAAGTTGAACCTGACATTTAGTAAGTAACAGGTTTGGGAGAGAAAATGGAAAGGGTTTGTGTGCTCAGACTACTCCATGGCTTCCCTGGATGAATGGCACATGAAGCTGAATGTAAGAATGTTATGCATGATTACTTTCCATACCTCTGATTACATTGTTGCGCACTCTTTCCCACAGCGTGAGCCTGAGAAATATCAAATATTTGGACATGTACAATTATTGATAGTGATAGATAACGGAGAGACAAAACACACTTATAAACACAAAATAACACTGTGTGAAGTGACTGATATGTATCAAACACCTTGCAACAACAACAAAAAAACTGTTCAGAGAGAAATTATTTGTCTGCTTCCAGCTATTAGGATATTAACTCTAAGGCCTATATTTTTATACAGATTTTAAAGGGAAAGTCCCATGCACCTTGATATTGAGTTGGTTTTGAGAGGAATAGGTCATGCAATGAAATTTTGAGCAAAAACTGATTGAAAATAATGAAGTTATGAACTTTTGAAGGTAGTACATGGAATCAACCATTCAAAAATTGGCAACCCTGTGACATATCTTGCAAGTTCTCCTCCCATTTTCTCTGTACTAAAAAAACTTCACAAACTTTCACTAATTTGTTCCTCTCATTTTTTCTGTTTTTATTAAAACCAACTTGATATCAGGTGACCTCCCCTTTAATGTCCTTCTGGCTCTCAGCTGAATAAGATATAAGAGGGTTATGGAAAGGAAGGTTATAAAATTAGTAAAAAAGAATGGTCTTTTTTTTGTTTGGAAATTGTGCATACTTAGAATCAATGGATTTTAAATCCAATTGATATCTTTAACCGCTAAAAAGTGTGGCAGTGCACGGTATTGTTACAGAATTCATTGTCACGTCCAACAACCGTGAACGAGGTAAATGAACTTAAGAATAAGAAATCATAAATGGTACTTTATTGCTTTATACTTTTGATGTCCCATTCATGATGGATGCGTCAGAGGTCAAAGGTCGCATTTGTAATCGTATTTTTATCGAAGTACAAAGTAAACATTGTAAATGAAGAATTTCATCATATCCTTTGTCAGGTTCAAGGTTCTTTTCTTATCTTCAGAAATGAAACATACTATGGCTCATTTGAGATAACATGGATGTTATTATAAATACCTTTGAAGATAAGGGTGATTATTTAGTCTGTAGAAACCAGCCATTTAATGTCATTTATAACTTATAACTACAATGGGTTCCAAAAAAAAAGAATCAAATTAATACTATTTTGTGTCGAGCTAATATATCTATGAGAACTAATAAAAGGCTTATTATTTGTGATTTTGCTGCTATGGACACCTTAAAAAAAAAATCTTTATGAAATGTTCAGACTCATGAATTATGAAATTTTGGTATTGTGGAACAACTTATTTTATATCAAATTTAGAAGTGACAGAAAAGACCCCACCACCTCTAAAAAAGTGGAACATTGATAGCTTCTTTAATCATACTGACTTTTTGGTTGAGATACATGTTTGAAAACTTGGTGACACCACAGGGGCACTTTTGACCAAAAATGTTGATTTTTCAGAAGGGAACTATATACACTCAATTGATAAAATCAAACAGTATTTTCATATAATAAGGAATATCACCTTTGATCTGCTGTCCTGAATAAAAAGAGCTAGGATTGTTTGCAAACAGTGCAACAGGTCTTAATACAAAGAATAAGCAAATATTTTTCCACAGGTCTACAATCCTTATGTAAAGCGATTGTCCGCAACAAATCAGACATTGGGCATATGTGTTTGTTAATTTGAGTTAATCTCTGAGATCAATGCATGACAGGCATAGCTGGCATTCTTGGGGGATAAGTGGATCAAATCAATGGACTTTACCCAAATGACAAAAAGCAATAACGATTGTATAATAAACATCAGACCGCTGCTCACTTCGCCCAAAATAAAACACTTCAAATCGTCGGAGGGTGATGACTGTAAACTGTTTGTTCAAATTGGCACACCATTGTCAACTTCAGTTTGAATTGCCGGTTGCTACTGAAATCAACGAAATTAAGTGTACCAGACAAAGCTCGAGATCATAGACCAGGAATTAAGTAGTACCGTTAGATGGACTAAGAGGTGGTCTCTAAATGCTCCAGGCTATACATGTGCCCACTTACTAGCTACGCTTGAGTGCTCTTTTGTTACATTATTGTCATCCGCTCAAAGGGTGTGAAAGACCGTGTTTGAAGGAAGAGAAAAGGCGTGCTGTTTTTCAAAAGGCTTTTAACAATCACTGGCTAACTGGAAAAAACGGGTATTCTTTTGGGTCCGTGATTGCCTTGAGATAGTGTTGCATGCTTCTAGGGTGCGGATCTATTCCAAGACCTGGGCTAGAAGCGAAGCATCGTCATGGCTGTTGTGCAGAAGTCTGGTGGATTTTTCTTTGTGGATTATGCGAGTGGTAGCGACAGTGTTTGCGACAGTGTCTTTGAAGACGATCGTGGTGATGACGTTGATGATGATGACGAAGAGGAGGGTGAGCTTTGCATACAGTCTTGATAGTATATACCGGTAGTCCCATTCTTCATACATCATCTGTTATCTGAGATGTTTTGGTACATTAAGAAGTCGGTCAGAAGGCAAATTGCTGTTTGGATTAAGATTTAGAGCCTGTCCCAGTTGTAGTAATAAACGTAATGTGCACATCGAGTTGATCATTAATTTTTGGGTGTCCTAATGACCAATTATTCTGTTGGTGGTCCCTGGAAGCTACAACAAATCAACATGTTCTTTTGATAGCATCGATCAATCAATGGATCGACCATTAGCCATGCAATGATATTATTTATATCACAGTGTCATTTGCATGGCTTTAAATATGCTTTGTACTCACAAGAAATGATAATTCTGTCCAAAATTCCTAGTGATAAAGTGATCAATTGCTGTTGTGTTCTTCAATAATTTTATTTCAAAGTTCAGAAGGAAGCGATATCTTTCTAATCAATATCAGGGAAACCTTGAGGGGTATATATTTCTCTGATTAAGCAACCTGCAACTGTACATGAAACCTGCACATGTTTGCGCACAGTTATGTACATGCAGTCATCTATTTACTGTAACCAGGGGATTCTTTCAGCTGCAGACTTTAAGTCAATAAAAGAAAGAAAAAAAACACCCTGAAAATCAGAGCAGAATGCTTCGAGCATATACTGCATACACAAATTATATACATGTATACGTTTTGAAATCAACACCATATTTAATCACAATTGGAAATATGATGATATGTACATGTATTACCAGTATATTATATTTGTTGTATCCTTTTTATATAGCTGAGATTGGAGAAAAAGTTATTCCACTCCATGTATATGAAATGGGATGCCAATCTTGGGCGAGCTAAAAATGGCCCCATTAATTTTCCATTACGGCTTCAAAAGTAGGGTACTTTAGAATTTAAACTTGAGCCCTGAAATTTAAATTGTGGCTCTCTCGTATTACTGTGCTATCAAAAGTGAAACCGCCTGACATCGCCAATTTGCAAAGATGATGATGGAATGTTGCGATTCATTTCGGTTCTGGGTTCAAAATGGATGGAATATGACACTTTTTTCTATTAGAAGTTAGTTTTGAGGGCTTTTTTAGTCTGTTAATTTCTTGTCATTTGGACTTATGGTTTTATGTTTGTGAGATGAAACGGGAGAATGTCTTCTAGAGGTTTATGCTGAATGCTTTTATGAACATACTGGGGAATATATGGGGTTTGTTCTTACTGTAAAGAAACATTAACAAACATAGTAATTTCAACATTTAAGTGCCTCTACCAACAACAATACAGGTACCAATATTGTTGTTGTATGAAATATGTTTTATGACATGCTTCAGTAAATATTCTTGGAATGATTTGTGTGCACTGCAGATTGGGAATGCTAACAAGTGTTTGGTATTTTTTAATGGCCACTTGTTCAAATACCATGTGAGCTGTTTTCATAATCATTCTTATTTCAGTTAGTGTTTTTACGGCTCATTCCTGTTTGATTGGAAGGTATGTTAGATATATATATGTACTGTAGCCCCTCCCTTACATTCCAAAGTGTTTAAAAACTGATGGCAAAATTGCATAAACTATTTAAATTCATCACGATTGATACATGTAACTGAAACCTCAATGCCTAAAGAGTAGAGAAAATATAAGATTATCTTTATTTCAAATATCAATCTTTCATGTTACACACAATGACATACTTATAACATGAAGATTCTCTCTAGTGTTATTTGGGCATAACATAACATGTTATCACTCAAAAATTGAGAATGTCTTTTTCTTGAAATACATTTGTTATCCATGCACATACAGTCGAACCTGATTTAGTGACCTCCTGTCTACAAGGACCACATTTTTTGTTTCCTTTGAAAATGGTTTCTCATTTAAACATGTACTTAAGGAACCTGTCTACAAAGGCCACTTTTTGTGTTTCCCTTGGGCGGTCGTTATAAACAAGTTTAACTGTACTTTGCTCCCTTCTTTGAAGCACTACACTACTACTTTGAAGCACTTTATCCAATATATTTATTCATCCAGCACAGATGATTAGTTTTTAAAACTATCCTTCCCTTTTTTTCCCCCTTGCAGTGTGTTCAGCAGGCCTCGGACAGGGAGGGTTCTTCATCAAGAACGGCAAGTACTACTGTGCCGCAGACTACCAGGACAACTACGGCACCAAGTGCAAGGCTTGCGGACAGTACCTTGAAGGAGAGGTGGTGACGGCCCTTGGCAACACCTACCACAAGTATTGCTTCGTCTGTGCAAGATGCGGGTGAGTGGAAACGTTTTCAACTCATTGCTTGTGTTCATCGAACGGACGGACCATGAGACCGATGGCCCTGTGGGACTGATAGCTGATGAGACCGATGGCCGGCGAGGCCAAAGATATCGGTCTCGTCGGCCCTGTGTCAATTTTCTCAGGGTTCATTAGACTGAAGGTGGTCTCGTAGGCCGTCAGTCTCCCAGGCTGTAATCGGCCTTGTGGGCTGTTAGTCCTAAATGGGTCTCTAATTTGTCCTCCTGAACGTCAGTCTTTTGGCTGTGTGTCACGTAGGGTGCCTGTCATACTGTATCCAGTTGTTCATGTATCAAAATCTAGGAAATTTCTTAGGGGATCACAGGGCCTTCTTGTAAAACCGTGTCAAAAATCATGGGTGAAGCCACCCTGGTAAAACTTAGGGGAAGTCCAATGTAATATCAATTTGGTTTTAATAGAAGCACAAAAATGAGAAAAACGAATTAGTGAAAGTTTTTGCTCAAACCTGCACTGACCGGTTTCTCTCATTTTTCTGCTCCTATTAAAACCAACTTAATATCATGGTGGTCTTCCTCTTTAATAAATAAATGCAAATGGTAGTCAACAGGTCAAAGTGCTAGAGGATTTCTGATTCTAATTCAACAAAACTACAATATGAATGTATATAAACATTTGTGAACTCGTTGGTTGATTGAAATGGTTATAACCATATGTTCCAGTTATGGACAGTAATCAAAGTCAGATGAATATTTTCCTTTGATGCCCTCATGGGGATCATTGAATTATGTGGTCAAAACCTAGATCATTTACTGACAGCAAGGAGGTCGTAAAGTAACACATGTAATGCCCATCCAGCCTCAGGAGATGAAATATTATAGAGGGATCATGATTTGGGAATTTGGGGGTAAAAATATGAGAAAAAGTGTAAATAATCAAAATTTGTATATCAGTTTTTGCTTCCCATCTCAACAATGTTAAGAAATGGATACACTTGTGTGATTGTACTTTCTCGAAATCACAAATATTTTAGAAACGTCACTATCTGGGTCATGTCATCGGCTATCAGCAACATGCAAATAGCAGCTGTGTGCCATATGCCACGGACAGGGAGGATCTGTTGAAAAATGAGACGACTCAAGAGAATTTAGGGCCCTTTTTGGTGAAAGAAAGAGATGGACTGTCGTAAAAATCTTGTTTTCGCCAACCCTCGCATCCTGGGGGAGTTTGTAGCGAATATCTGAAAGAAGTATATGTTTTGTTGGATGAAATATGATCGTGGATATTTATGAGAGGAAAATGCAGGAGTCACAAAAGATGGTGTTTTGCAGGGAAGTCATCTTCTGGGATTAACCCAATACATGTTTGAATATAAAAACTGAAGATGAACTCCAATGAAGTTGAAATCATGTACATTCTTTCTTTTAAAGGCAGTAATCCCTTTTGTAGACTTGTGCAAACTCCGTGAAACTAGGCGAGTGCTTAAAAATATATCCTTCAGAAATCGTGTGTGAAATTTTACAGTCCTAGGTTCTGAAACTTCATTGTAAGAAATGAAAATCTAGTGCTAATATTGCTGCAGAGAGAGAGCTATTCTCAAATCAACAGATTTAACGGTCAAACTAATTTTGAATTACTTCCATTTTTTTTTAGTCTAGAAATTATATATCTGGAATTAGACATTCAAATCTGATTTGTTGGATGCCTGTTTCCATATTTTTTCAAATTTCTTATGTGGTTGGAGGTTCCTAATATTAGACCTCTTTAATATACCACTGGGTTGAGTTCTATAAAGTTTTTTGCAATTGTGTTGTACGTAGAAAATTAATCGGGGCCCTGTTTCATAAAACTGGTTATCAATAACCAGTTTATACAATAAGCTACTAAAAGCTACTAGCATCTGCTTGACTGAGAGAAAATTTGTCACAGCAATTTATCATTTGATATAATTGATAACAAGTTTTGTGAAACAGGGCCCTGCTGGTCAGTCGATTTGTAGGAAGGGCTGTACCAGAGAAAGAATCTAATTAATTTTTATTTTAGAGTACATGTATAAGATGAAACATATCAGCTACCATAGAGCAAAGTATGCTTGTAAGATTTGTACGCATGCTACATAAATCCGAGTACTATTTACCAAATGTCAAAACCTTCGATGTCAAAATAATCAGAGCAACACAACGTAACCCTGATTATACACAGTACATGTATGTCCATGGACAAGATTATATCAAAGTACAGGCCAACTACTCAAAGCATTTTCCCGAAGACCAACAAAAAAATCTTTTCATCACGAGGTGTCTCATTCAGCTTGATAAATGAGCCAAATATCTATTGTGAGTCAGTGGGGAAAGACTTCCGGGAGAATAGTAAAATGTACAGAAATATGCCAAGTATTCACCCGGGGCTATTCAAATTATGATTTATTGTATTTGAGGTTTCCCCGATGAATTTATATGAGGACTTTGAGTCGGAAATCACGTTTTTGACAACTGCTTCTAAATGGAGGAAGTTTTCCATTAATGCAAACAACTTTGTGACAACAAACTGAATATCAAAGAAAAACAAATATTTGATAGGTTTCTTATCTGTTGAAATATCAAATCATTTATGAGTCCCTTTGTATCGGATAGATTTTTCCTGGAATGTGTTTCAGTGCTTTATTTTTTCATGAATATGGAAGGACAGCTTATTTTCTTATTTCTCTTTATACTTTAATCAACTTTCATGGATTTTCTATCACATTTATGTAGCAGATGTATATTAATAGTCATGAACTTTCATTAGAAGTTTCATTTAATGCTATGATAATTTATTTTCTGTGAGTACCTGAACTGAAGATTACTTTGAAGATCCAACTGTCCTCAAATAATCACCTTACCATGATAGCTGTTTTGAATATACAACTCCAGATAATAAGGCCACCTAGAATCAATTCCAAGTTTAACATTCATTTGTCCTAAAAGATGAGCTGTATGGTTAATTGCTATATATATAAACCTGTATCACGCATCTCTGCATTTTTTCAATTTATTTATAATTTCTTTCTGTTTGTCAAGTGATGACTTTGTGTCTGTGTTTCATTTTACCTGAATCATCTTATCATCTGTTTGATTTGCTATTATGTTGGCCTCTCAACTACAATTGATTATCCTAAGATCATAATTGCAGTTATTGATTAGCATTTCATCTTCTCAAAATATGACTTGTGTGACCACAGTTTCTTTACTTTTATGTATATGGTTTTGATTTGCATGTGTCTTTTTCATTCATTCTTCAAACTTTGAGCTTTTACTATTTATTTTAAGAGTACTGCTCATTTCATATTTTGTTTCTAGATGCTGTCATCTTCATAAGATTTACATCCTGCTGTGTAATCTTTATTTTATTCCAATAATTATGTTCCTCTATTTCATTCATATTTCTGTTATGAGTTTTGGTATTATGATTTCCACTTCATGACCTTTAATTTGTTTTCAACTTTCTTTTATTCCCATTTCCAATCTCCTTCTCATTTCCCTTATGATCCTACCCACGCTTGGATTATCCTGTTTAAATATGTACATGTATGTGTGTTGCCTCTCTGCTTTTTGAGAAAACAAACTCTCATTTGTGTGAAACTGTGCTTTCATTTGATGTATATTGCCCCTTTTCTATCTTTTTGTCTGACATGTTTTAAAAATCTTTGTCTGTTTGTTGCCGTGTTTGTCTGTCAAATGTCAAATTTCTCTTCATCTTCCCTTGTCTTCTTTAATACCATCATCTTGCAAATATTCCCCTATTGATGTAAACACTAACAAACACATATCCAACCTATATGACCCCAATGACCTCCAACGACCCTACTGACCCCATGTGACCCCATGTGACCTCACAGGCACTCCTTCGTAGGGGGCGAGGACGTCTCCTATGACCCGGTCACCAACTGCTGTCTCTGTCTCCAGTGCCAGCGCATCACAGAGGCTACAGGGTAAACAAACAAACAAACAAAGAATATACAAATTGTAAACAAAGTTGTAAACAGTTTTAACAACATTGTAAACAACTCCTCTTCACCTGCTGTTTCTGATGGGGCATGTTGCTCTGGTGTGACTAGCTGTCTGTATCTAATTCAGTGCTTTTTAATTTTTTTTCTTTCTTCAAATTTATCTTATTCAGCCACTTGTTGGATATTAATTGCCTTCATTGGATGCATCTAATGCTTGCAGAAGTTATCTCCTAATACTTGCTGTTTGTCATTATTGTTTTCATTGTCACTGTCATCATTGTATGTGTCATGTTACCCCTTTCTTCACTTCGTTGTGTACTTTGTGATGGAAGATTCTAACTTTTACTCACTTCTTGCATCATTAATAGGTCTCCCAATATCTTCCTCCCACTTTGTATTCCTTTCAACGCTTTGTATGTTTATATATTGCCTGTAATTCATTCCAGTGTTGATCTTTTAGCAAGCATGTCTACATATATATATTCATGACTCTAATGAGTTATTGAAGAAGTACTAATTTGATTAGATATTTAAACTTAGTGACTTTCAACTAAAATGTGTGTAAGGTAAAATCTTTCTAACCCCTTTATGTACATGTAGCCTGCATGTACAAACTGTTTAGCAATAAATTGCTGAGAGACATAATGATGTTAACTCAAAAACTTTAACATAGAATAAACACCCTTCTTGCTCAGAGCAAACAATGTTTCTAGCATATCAAATAATAATGATAATAATAATACTGGAGTCTTGTATATAGTGCTCATGACTGGCACACTGCCACTCCTGGTGTTCCATTATTATTACCCCTGCTTTAGCATGTACGGCTGCCATTGCTGTCTTTACAGCACTCAAGCATTTAAAGCAAATAATTACTGCCAGGTACCTATTTGCCTCACCTGGGTGGAATGTGGCAAATTGTAGATTAATGTCTTGCCAAAGGACATTCGTGATGCAACCGGGATTTGAACCTTGTACCTTGTGGTTCACAGTCCAGAGACTTATCCCCTAGACCGCAATTAACACCTCTACGTAATCAGTAATGTAAGATGAATCAAAGTGGAAATTATGTTTTTTCACTTCATGACAAAAACTAGCCCTCTTAACATCCCATTAGTATGCTACGTCATGTGTTGATGTAAAGATACAGGAAAAGAGCGAGAACAAATTCCAGATGCGTCCTCGAAAGCTTACCCAAAATAACCTTTTGCAGATCATGCCAAAAACATTCTCCTCTCTTTTTAATTTGATTATCAATCAGAGAGGTAACTCTATCCAATTCTCACTGATGACATTTCATCCTTCCTCGACTCAATTACCCTTGTGGGCCCCGTCTTTATTAGAAACGAAACTCTCGGATTCCTCCCATCTTTTTCTTCTTTTTTAATCTTCTGAAATGTCGACACATGGCGGATCATCAGTCAATTAATGCCTCGTCATTAAGACAATGTTCAGAGTTGATGCAACGCTCCAAACGCAGACATTTCATTTCCTGATAATTGATTGTCAGTGAAGAGGAGATTTATCTCATTTAATGAACGTATGGAGGAGGGGGCTAAGGAATAGGGGAGGGGGTTAGGAAGTGGGGGTGACGGGGTAACGGAATAGGGGAGTGATGAAGGAGTTCATATCTGTATAAGACATGGTCCTTATTATAAACCCACTGGATACAATTTTACTTTGCTATAGCACATATTTAAGGATAAGGGTCGGGCGGGGTAAAGAATTTGGATAGGGGGGAGGGAGTTTGTCTCTTAATAAGATGCGATCTTGACTTTGATAAAAAGTTGATTTTGAAAGAAGGGGTAAGGTATAGGGATGATGGCAAAGGAGTAACGGTGGGGGTAAACGTATATTGAAGAGGGGGGGGGTAAAGGCATAAGAGTGATAGTAAAGGAGTAGGGGTGGAGTAGTGGTATAGGAATTGTAACATATAGGGGCAGGGTAAATGGGTAGGAATGGGGTTATAAGGGGCAATGAGGTTGGAATATAAGGGCAAGGGGTAGCATTACAGGAGTCGGGGGAGGAGGGAGGGGTAAATAGGTTGCAGAGTAAAAGGGTAAGGGCAGGGTTAAGGGTTATGGTGGGGGTAAAGGGGTGGAGTGAGTATAAGGGCAAGGGATGTCATTAAAAGAGTGAGGTGGGATGAATAGGTAGGAGAGTAGAAGGGGGTAGGGTGTGGATAGAAGTAGGGAAGGGATTAAGGGGTTCATATCTGTATAAGACATATAGTCCTGATTACTGATGTTTAAGAAATCTTATTCTTCATCTGTTGTTCCCATCCACCTGGAGAGGTGATAGATTTGTTAATGATATTTCTCGTTTGCCATATGTGTTTTTGTCATGAGTGATACTATGCTTTTAATTTCAATGTCACTGTCGGTGCAGCCAGGGTGACGTAATATTCTCATCCCTGGCATATAGTTAAGAAGAAAAAAAACATGAATCTATGAAAACCTATTCGCTAAAAAGCTTCATCTTTTTTTTTTAATGAGATAATTTTTTCCTTCCCGAAATATGAAGAAGTACAGATCACTTTAGCATGAAGGACACATGAAACATTTTCAAAACAGTTTTCTTCTTCAAAATGATCATGCAAGAAATAGATTCAGGCAAGTCAGAAACTGAATGGAGCAATAATTTGCCCCTTTCCTTAGATATTGTTGTGAATGGAGAAACAAAAGTACAGATTTATCAAACAAAATTCAGGTTTCTTGGTAACTGTCAGTTTTTATACTAAATCAGACTGGCATCACATTTTCGTTATTGAATGCCAAAGTCACATTGACAGTTACAAAGTCCTGGCATTTTATTGAAACAATTATCTGTAATCATAATCCATGCAGTATCATTTTCATATTTTGACATCAAAAATCAATGCAGAAAATCTTGAAAAGCATTCAAACATCATCCCGCTAAAGCCAGTCCATTAAAGAAAAACCAAAATCTGCAGCAGCTGGAGCTGAACAGACAAACAAAGACATCTCCATTTCCCCCCATCTACCAGTTGATACAGGCGACAAGAAACATATAGTTGGCAACATACTCCCCTACATATCTATTTGCATCCCATCTATCTCATTTCCCTTCTTCGTCATTATCTAGTTCAACCGCAAACTCTCTCGATCCGCCGCGCCGAGCTTGCCTTTACAAATTTGTCTTTGGGATTTGGCAAATTTTCTCAGTCGCCCCCTACTTTTGCAAATACATCTTTGGGAATCAAATCTAGGGAAAAGTATTTTGTGGGAACGGGATGGGGTAATGAATAGAGTCTGGACAGGAAGATGGCTGTTGATTGGAATAATGGATCGCGCTATGGGGGTGTCGTGTATGTAGTCTGAAGTGATTTATTTGTCCAATTTTGTAAAAACTTTTGTGTCACTGTAGAGGACCTGTAATGGATTGTATCTTTGGATTTTTCAGTTCATATTGATGGCAGAGTTGCAGAGAATTCAAGGGATTATTTAACTTTTGCAAGATGAATTGGAAGTGTTATTTGTTCATTGTGATTCTAACAATTTAGAAAGCCTGAATGATTGAAAGTAATTTACAAAATACATTAAGAATTCAATAGCCCTATTTATCTACACATTACATTTTTTGTCAAATAATCCAGCCTTCTTTATGTTTTTTCCATAGCCCCCCCCCCCCAAAAAAAAGGAGTAATAATAAAATTGAATCAAAATACCTTTGAACGAGTAGTGACTCTTAAGGAATATATATTTTTGTCTATTTTGAAGTGCAAAATTAAGTTAAAATTTAAACACAATGAATGTAAGAAAGCATACAGCATAGCTATAAAAATAATATAAAATACTTAAGTGGTAAAAAAAAAGGAACCATAGCACTTTACAGCACCACAGAATATGAAGAGAAATCGTAAATACGTAGACTAAAATACGAGTACATCACATTATATGAGGGAAGACGTATGTTTAGGGGATTTCTGCCTGTATGTATCTGTCTCGAACGAATCCTTTTAGCTACCCACATTGCTGCATATTTTCTCTGTCATCTTTACCAATTCATAAAAATGATGACTCTATATAGAGGAAAAGATTATTTTCAATTTCCCCTGGGTTCTCAAAGATAGATCTGGTTCCTGATTTGTCTGCTATTCGTCATTATACTCTGATCTCTTTCACTAATGTATGTCCATCTTCGATATCAAGTCGTTATCAGCGTTCAATTAATATTAAAAGTTCTTATTTAGGATGCAAGCGTCTGAAGTTGAAAAAGATACTCAAATCAATGAATTGTTCATTGATGAAAAGTCCTTTTTTCAGTCTGTGCCATGAAACAAGTTACGGTTTGCAGGTATTCTAAGGAATTAGTTATTCCTGTATAAGGTCAGATCTAGGCTTTTGTAAATAATTATCACTTTTTAAGTACATTTCATGTTAAAAGTTGAAAGGACATTCCCTCCCCCCCCCCCCCCCTTGGGCATGCCACATGACATGGAATAATAGTGCACCCTTAAATCTGGCATTAGGTTTTTAGGAAAACCAGAAGTCAAAAGCCATACAATAGAGAGGATGACCAGGGGTGAGAAGATTTAGGTAGGCAAATGGATGGTATTTGACATATGAAAATGAGGTCCTTCGTTTCATTTGAACACCAATGATTGGCAAGTTTCCTGTCAAAACATCTGTGTAGTGTGCCCAATATGGAATGGATATCCCTTTTAAAATTCAAAAGATAAAGTATGATGCAGGCTTGCTAATCTGAATATTTGTGCTGGCAAATCAGACTTTTGATTAATGTCAGGATTATATTGAAGCCTATTAAAGGAGGGGAGGGGGGCAAATGTAACATTATTTAATGTGACATTTAAGTGATTAAACATAATTGTAATTCTTAAAAGCCATTTGTGGAACTAGATTAGATCATGGCTTCTCTGAGTTATATCAGGATTAGGTTGTGGTATTTGTAGAATTCCCCAAGTTAAATGTTATACAAGACTTAAACTGAACAATGAAAATATAAGAAGTGGTTTAGTTTTCCATGCCAAGTAATGTATCAATTAATAGTTTAAATGTCAGTTGTACTTGTTAAGACTGTATAGAATATGAGATATTAGTTTCTTTTCATTAGAAGAAATGTTAAAAGTGTGAATTCTCATATTATTTGGAGAAGAAAAAAATAGGATTAGTATTTTTCTGGTTACATAAGAGCTATTGTTTAAATATTAAGTTTTGTTTTATCAGTTCTCTTCATAATCATAATATTAGTACCATTATTATTACCACTAGCAGTTGTAAAACGATGGTGTACATCCATCTACAGGTATTAACATGATTAACATCAATAACTGATATTTTCTAAAGATATGTAGTATTATATAGTGTCATAGGAACAGTAGAAGTAATTGGAACAGTAGAAGGCAAATATAATCGCAGATGTAGCAAAATTAATAAAGAAATGCTAACTTTGTTTTCTTTATCAAGTATGTTTCAATACTGATCCTCAGCAACCACTTTTGCACCATTTTGCTATGTGTTCATTTCTATACGTGGGACGAATGTGTCTTCAAATATAGACACTAATTGAACAGAGCAAATATTGCCTCCTTTGCGCAGACAATGTTGCAGTCCATATTTGCTTAAAGCCCAAGCTCGAAGAATGGTTTTGAATACAGACATATTGAAGGTTTTCGTCTTGCAATTGCAACAGTGAAAATGCAGGATCGAACAGGAAGCCAAGGTTTCAGCATGAATTGTGAACACTTGATCAATGCTTAGAAGTTGTTTATAATGGAGATGATTTCGAAAAAGAAAAAAAAATATCTATCAATGAAAAATGGCTTACATCAGTAAATTATTCTACATGTTCACTGTTAAGGTTTAGTGAGCATTCGTGAACAAAATACAAGAAAAGAAGCATTTCTCCTTAAAATTCAACTTTTGATTCACTATTTTGGTTGTATCTTTAGATGATTACGATGATATCAGTTGGATATAGATAAGTGGTTTTTTCTTAGAATAAAAAAATGCTTAATACTGTGATACTCCCCAGCTTTATAGCTAAGCTACTGTGATAAGGCACTCAAGCATTTGTGAATTCTCTCCCTGTTGAGTTTCCATTAACCTCTCCCATGTGGAGAGTGCCAATTGTAGATTAATGTCTTGCCAAAGCATCTAGCATCATGGCAAGAGTAAACAAGACAATTGAGAGTAATTAGAGGTCTGTATCGTTCTTCACGATTGTTAAAGGTGGCACGACTCTTCTCTGCTTGGTTAAGCAATTTGGATTAAGGCGTGACACGGACACCGTTTTTCATGGCGATATTTATAAGCTATCAGGCAAGAGAAGCTAACCCACATAGATGAGACTTTGATGCCCGATCGAGATGGTTGCCAGAGAGACGACTCTTATGACGGCGCCCTTGTCTGTCCCCGTGGAGATGATAAAAGATGTATTCTGTGTTGCCACACGATCCGGTTTGGATGAATCTCGAGGGGCAAAGTTTGCTCTGTAAATGGGAGAAAATGGGATGAGGAACTTGGCATTGCTCGATAGAATCTAGATTCTACCAATCCCCGTCCAGCGGGAATGTGTTCTGTGCATACAATTGTATTGTAGTACATATGTCTGCCTCAAAGAATATATCGCTTTAATCAGCAAAGCAAAATGTATGCCTTTTGATTCATTATTGTTCTGATAAGTACTTTTAAGTACAATTCCCTTGTTTGGAATGTAGAATTGTTGTGCCCTATAAAGCAAGTTCTACATGTGCTGACTAATCGTTAACTACTAGCTAATAATTCAGTAGTATTTATCTAACAAAATTAGTTTGATTCCCTGAGGTTAAAAACTGCATGATTTTTTCTGCTAATGAAAAAGAAAAGAATAAACTTAATCATATGTATGATATATGTATTGCTTATTTAATTGCATTGATCATATATGGAGTTGTGAATAAGCATACAACCCTCCTGATTGTAACATAATGTCTGTTTTAAGCTAGAAGGGCATTAACTCATGTACTTTCACACAGAGTTAACGCCCTCCTGGCTCTGAACAGATAATATATTTAATCTAGCTTTTAACAATCATTGCCATACAATTAGAAATGTCACTTCATGAAAATGTTAACCCACATGTTTGTATCGAAAAAGAAAATAGAAACTATTTAGTAATAATTGCAGGAGTAAATATTGACTATTATGTCAAGTTGTCAGTGGTTGGGACACAAAACCCTCTATGCTGTGGACTTTGTTTATTACTCCTACAGGTTGTGAATTGCACAACCACCTTGTCAATTACCTGAGGAATGCCAAATGATATGTTTGGCTTGTTTGCACATAACATGTATGAGAAAATATTGACTAATCAAGCCTGAATGTGACTTTTATGGCACTATTCTTAAAGTTAACCAGCACACAATGACTTGAATTGTTCAACAATTTTCTGTGAATTGTTATTAATGAATCATTATCATGTTATTTGAATAAATGAGGAAGATATTGATTATTCTATACTTGTAAATAATGAATCTTTCAGTCGCCTTGTTGTTACATAATTAAATGAGAATATTGATGATTCTCAAAGTTCAAGGCTTTCTCGAAAGATGGTGTTGGGCCACTATGCAGTCATTTGCATGAAACTTTGTCTGACCAGTTAATGGCACAACAGTATCCTCAACAGGGGATTGGGTTCTATGGTCTATGTGCTTGTCATGCATGCACTCAGAGGGGTTGGGGTTCAAAACTCTAAAGGGGCTGCATATACATTGTAGTTTCACGGTATCACTGTTTTTTTTTCTTCTTCTTTTCCTGTGCTTGATGCGCTCTTAGGATTGAGCTATAAATAGTTTTGTTTCATTTAAGACTTGTAAAGAGAATAACTCTCAATATTATGAATGTGATCCCTATTTTGTCAGATCCAACATTTTACTGATTTTATAAATTACATTGTATCTAAACGGTTTATTTTTTAATATTAAGGTGTTATTTGTCAAAAATTATTTAAACTCAAACAATCCAATATACCAAGTATTCTAAGCAAATGTTTTCACATTCAGATATTTTTTTACAAATGACAGATGACTAAAAAAATGTTCAAAACCTGTTTTTGTAATAATTCACCTTGGCTACTTACAATACATCTTTGTACATTCATTACCAGCTCATTACCACATATTGTTAATTTTGTTGCCCTACAACATATCATAAAATTCAAGAAAATAAAACCTTCTTTGAAATTTGAGCTTATGATGTTGTTTTTAACATAATTTATTTTCTTCTGCTATATCATATTTTCAGGGTTGCCCTACCCCCGGGAGAGAAGGTCACGTACGACGGAAAGGATGTCATGTGCGACGCCTGCAACGTGCCAGGATCGTCGAACGACAAACGGAACAGGGACGTACAGATCAAGGCTAACGGAATCATCCCGGAGAAAGCCAGAGAAACGTCATCTGCCCCGGGAGCTATCAGTGAGTAGACCAGGTCCTTGTAGGGAAGTCTTGGACCAGAATTGGTCCTCTTTGAGTGCTAAATGTGGAAGTTTCAGAGACTTGACAAATTAAACTGATTTGTGACCATAGAATGGGTGCCTGTTCTAGTGCTAAAATAGATCTAGTAGATTTGGTTAGTTCTTTTGGTCATCTTTTGAACTGGCACATCCCTCCAGTGGCAAACCAGTAGACTAAACAAAATTCCTGAAAAGTGGTCTCATGTGAAAGTGAGGGCCCTCTACCATGGAGTAGCAATTTGAAATTCAGAAATGTTTATTCTTCTTTAGTGAGAACCTCAGCTCTCAACCTAAAGCTTGTCTGCACTAGTTTGGCCAGGGAGGATGAGACCTCCCTGCAAGGTCCTGTCAGATGATTTTCTCATCAAATCAGCTCTCAATTAACGTAAGAAAAAGAAAATCATGGGGGACCAACATGCACTGATAAGGCATTGTTTGCTATATAGAGGGCGCAAGTAGCTATAAGTAGTGCGGTGGGGCTTTAACATATAAATTTAGAGGTACTGTGTGTACATGCAATTCAGTTTCAATAAAGATTTGTACACTCTTCTTCCAAGAGACTTCCCATATCACATCCCCTATCTCATTTTTTTAGAACCCACCTGAGTGATTATTATGCATTTTCTCAGTAGTATGATAACATCTTGAATTAATTTATATTCTTATAGATATAGAGGAAAATAACTTTAATGATACCATTCTCAGAAAAAGAAATCTATGAGGGGGATGTGAGATGACTATCTGTTTGTATACTCCGGAAGTTGCTGCCCAAGTTCTGACTAGATGATAGAACATAAGAATCCTCATTAATCTCTCTTTGCTCAAATTGAGTCTCCTTTTCAGTTTCTGTGAAAGGGAAGTAGTTTACCACTCCAGACTCTTTCATCTTCTGGAGTTTAAACAGGTCACTTTCTGGGACAATTTCTTAACATCTTGTTCTTCTGCTACTCCTACATCTACATCTACTACTTCTACATCTATTGCCTGTAAACATAATACTTCTACATCTACTACTTCTACATCTACTACTTCTGCATCTGCTACTTCTACATCTACTTCTTCTACAACTACTACTTCTACATCTACTACTTCTACATCTACTTCTTCTACAACTACTACTTCTACATCTACTACTTCTACATCTACTACTTCTACATCTACTACTTCTACATCTACTACTTCTACATCTACTACTTCTACATCTACTACTTCTACATCTACTACTTCTACATCTACTACTTCTGCATCTGCTACTTCTACATCAACTTCTTCTACATCTACTACTTCTGCATCTGCTACTTCTACATCTACTTCTTCTACAACTACTACTTCTACATCTACTACTTCTACATCTACTTCTTCTACAACTACTACTTCTACATCTACTACTTCTACATCTACTACTTCTACATTTACTACTTCTGCATCTTCTACATCTACTACTTCTGCATCTGCTACTTCTACATCTGCTACTTCTACATCTACTACTTCTACATCTACTACTTCTACATCTACTACTTCTGCATCTGCTACTTCTACATCTACTACTTCTACATCTACTTCTTCTACAACTACTACTTCTACATCTACTACTTCTACATCTACTTCTTCTACATCTACTACTTCTACATCTACTACTTCTACATCTACTACTTCTGCATCTGCTACTTCTACATCAACTACTTCTACATCTACTACTTCTGCATCTGCTACACTTACATCTACTACTTCTACATGTTAATCTTCTTCCACATCTATTTATTCTGCATCTGTTTTGACTTTTAATTCTTCTTCTATTTCTACCTTTACATCTACTTATTCAAGTCATTATGTTGTCTTTTTTACTTGTACTTTTACTGTTTTGTCTACTTCTTAAACTGCTTCTCATATTACAGATTTGCTTTATATGGTGGTTGCAATATCTCTCTATTTACTGAGGGACTTGGCTTTAGTGTATTGGTTATAATTTAGGTCTTTCAGTTGAATATGCCAAGGTTAATATCGAGTCAAGAACAGGAGATACAATACTTGATCTTGTTCTTGACTTCAGAACATAAATTCCCCTGGCAAGAACCCGTGCTTGCCGACTGAATAGAGTCTGTTATTGAAGGCCGTAACTTCAGTAAGGCACTTATGTTGATAGATGGGTGTGCGTAAGCCCCCCATGTTTGTCCCTCCACTACACTCTGAGTCCAGGATAAGGTACGGGATATAACGCTGTGGCAGGTTGATTGACGAGTTTGGCTCGTTAATGTGTATTACATCCGTAGGTAGTACACACGCATGTTCCTCCATCCACAGACCGCCATTATTGGGAATTTTAAAGAATGCGCTCAAAAGTGTTGGATAAAATCGTTTCCTAATAATAGTGGTAAATTCACCTTATTACATTTCCATAATGATCATATTATTTTAAGACGTTAATGCTCACACAATTAATGACCTATTCAGTTGTCATGCCAGAACATTGGCAGTATTTATGAAATACTGGCTATTGACTTGCATGTCGATGGACTTTGGTATTGTCTTATAGTACATAAAATGTCGACCCACTTGTATACCTTTCAATTTATTTATAAGTTGTTTATACCCTCTATATTTCATACCAGTCTGAAAACATTTATGAGCAATATTATTATGATTCCTTTCGAAGGGGTAGTAATCCTTTAAAAACACTGTTTTCTTGGTAGACCAATTAAGGAAGTAATATTTATGGTAAAAACAGAGCATAGTTCCTGTATGACATTTTACGTAATGCAAAGGCGTAATTGTTTGTTCTGTTCTATGTTTGACGTCATACCTATAAAATTTAGATTTTCAAGTCCTTCCATCCTCGTCATTAATATCGCAGAAAGAATCCCGTTTATGCTTCAAAATCCTTCCAAATCAAACAAAGACGACGCAGTTTCTTAGGATAATCAATGCTCACTAGCATCACAGTCTAGTTTCAGATCCGATGTTATCTATAAACAGCATCAAGGTTGTCATATTTGTAAACCCACGTTTCATTAATGATTAGCCAGTCTGTTTATAAGCCTAGTCATCATAACATAAATATCTGATCTCAGATGGAATTGTTATTTTTTTAATGCGAGACGCTTTCCTGTATCAGTTGACGTCAATTAGATCTATTTTGTATTTTTTTTATACTGACTTGACCTTTATTGTCTTTCAAAACTCAATTTTAAATGAAGTCAAATAAGAATGTATGTCATTTTCAGACCGGTGATATTAATTAGTATGCACAAAAATCGTGGTGCAAAATTGCCTTTGTGGTTGTAAATTAGATGAGACATCAGGTTATGTAAACATCTCACGAACATCAAACAAATTTGTGAAATGTCTTTGAATCTTGAGAAATATCAACAAGATTTTAAAGCTTTAGTAACTTCCTTCTTTCTCAGAAGGTGACAGTGATAGGGTATTGTAAACTGAGAGCAAGAAGGGCTGTAACCCTTTCAGGATGGGATTCATTTTAAGGGCTAGGTTGATCATATATTGACCTTCAAATTGGCAACAATAATACTTTTCGTTAATTGCTACATTATTCTAACAAAACGTTATGTCTCTGAAAACAATATATATATATGGGCAGGAATGTGGTCATGAAGTTGAAAAATGGCAAATTCTAATCGAAAGACAATGATTTTGAATTTCTCAATGTGTTGCCAACTTAAGGATTTTAGTGCTTGTTATAGAATTCCTGACATCAAACACAAGATTGTCATGAAACAAAAAAGGATGCAGTGTGTGCAGAAATATTTTCCTTTTCTACTCCTGCATCTGGCATATTTTTAAGGCTCTGAATAAAAAAGTTATTGAGCCAAACTACAAAATGTAGAATGATCGTTGCGAAAGGGTTAACTATGTATCAGTATATTGGCTAATTCCCTTCTGGCTTTCAGCAGATGAGAGGTTAACCTACATGTAGTATCATCAAGATTAAAAACCAGCAGGGGAAATAACGCTGCCCTAGACTTCAGGAAATCAAAATATTTTAAATTCATTAACATAGATCAAGTATCTGATGATGAAAATGGCGCTGAAATTGAAAGTAGAAAATTGCTGTATCACATTTCACTTGGCTCATCAAGATTGCAATGTCAAAAAAAGGAATCTGGCAAATTGGCATTTTGATTGGGAATTAGGGCCGAAAGTAGCGGAGGATTTTGAGTGTACTACAAGTCTGAAGCATTCTCTAAGTTACCTTGGTGAGGGTATTTTCAGAGAGTGGTTTCTGCTATGTAAATAAGTATGCCTGTATGGGTCTGTAGACAGAAATGATTATTTAAATTTGTATTTCATATTTTGTGGAAAAGGAATGCTAAATGATGATGATAATAATGATTTGTAGTTATCGTAAAGTGCCTATCACAAATTTCATTTGTCTATGTGCTGTAATGTAAAACATAAAAGAAAGAAAAACTATGAAGTAACTAGAAAAATGAAAATAGGAATGGTTATATCATGTTGTAAACCTACGGTGTTAATATACTACAGTGTAAATATACTACTTTATACAGATTACACCAGTTTAAAAATTACATTTTATTACAAATCCAGGTTTGTTGGACAAATTTTTAAATATGCTTCCGTAGCAATGACTTCAGACAAATAAAAGAAAAAAATGGTGATAATCACTGCAAGCCTTGCCTATTTTTCAGGACAGCATTTCTGCAAATGGCAGAAACTGTGACTGTACGAGTAGCTAGCTTTAGCAGGTAACTTTAACCGATATCTTTCTGTGCTCTCTCTTCCTATCTTCCACCATCTTGTAGGATGTGCGCAGTGCAACGATGACATCACACAAGGGCAGGCCTTGGTAGCCCTGGATAAACACTGGCACGTCTGGTGTTTCAAGTGTCACAAATGCAAAAAGGTCTTAACGGGAGAGTACATGGGAAGGTGAGTGCACTTTTTTTAGCCCTCTCCCAGCTCGCTGTTTATGTGTCTCCTCGCCCCCTCTCGATCTCCCTATTTTGTTACTACCTAATTTTTTTCTCCTTACCCTCTCTTTCTTTCTCTCTCTCTCTCTGTCTTTCTCTTTCTCTCTCTTTCTCTCTCACTCCTCCTGCTCCTCTCCTTTTCCCCTTTCTGTCTTCTGTCTTTCTTTATCTCTGTTTCTGTCTACTCCTGTCTCCACTCTACTTGTTTCTTCTCTTCTGTTTCTGATTCTCTCCCCCTATTCTGTTTCTCTTCTCATCGTTTCCCTTAGTTATTTTCTATCTCTCCTTTTCTTCCCTGTCATTTTCTCTTCCTCCCTGTCTTCTTCATTCACTATCTGTCTTTTGTTTGTTACTCTCACCTCTCTCCCTGTTCTCTTCCTTTTTTTCTCTCTCTCTCTCTTTCTCTCTCTCTCTCTCTGTCTGTCTCTCTCTCTCTGTCTCTCTCTCTCTTTTTCTCTGTCTCTCTCTCTCTGTCACTCTCTGTCTGTCTCTCTGTCTGTCTGTCTGTCTCTCTCTCTCTCTCTCTCTCCGTCCATCTGTCCATCCCTCCCTTCCTCTTTCTCTACCTTTACCTTTGCTCCCATTTTTGTCTCTCCCCCTCCCCCTTGTCTCTCTCTCAGTCTCTCCATCTCCTTCCCTCTTGGTATTCATAGGTAGGTCAGGTAGCTCAAAGGTTTCGTGCTGATACCGGAAACATAGGAAATGAAGCGATGAACTTGAAAGCCTATCGCTCACTTAGATTGGCTTAGATTGAATTTCAAGATTCTATGAAACACTATAGGGAATTCCTATTTTCAGGGTGTACTTGAAGTCAATCAATAGTCTTACTCTGTAATTGTTTTTTAATTAATCAATATATCTTATTTCAAAAATTTCCCTGCATTTATGTTTTCTCAAACCTTGCTTCTTATTTACTTAATTTTTGTAAGTAAATATCGATAATCAGCTGCAGCGTTTCCAGATTTTAAATTGTTGCATGAAAGACATGTCCGTTGAGAGCCTGGTTCCAAACTTACATCATAGGCAAAATATATCATTAAACACAGCAATAAAGTTAAGGAAATATTGTTTTCTGCTCTTTTGTTTTGCTCAGAGACGGACAGCCATTTTGTGAGCGAGATTTCCACCAGTTGTTCGGAGTCCGGTGTTCGAGATGTGACAATTTTATCACCGGAAAAGTTCTAGAGGTGAGCATTTAAAGAGAAGGTTGAGTTCTGGAAAGAGTTGAAAAATAATTTGTGAGCGTTATCATTCTTATTATGCAAGTGTGGAAGAACATCAGATAAGACATGTTCCCTGAAAAGCATGGCTCTTCAAATGCCTTCATATTCTAAATATGTCATATAATATCGTAAAACTCGGGGGTAGGATTTTTACGCCACGTGTTCGTGTAGTCCCATATACATATTTCTGCGTACAGTGTTTGGAACTTTACCAAGACTTGGCCAAATTTCTTATCATTTTGATGATTCCAGAACCTTGCAATACACACAAATTCGTATATGCTAGATGATCAACCTTTTCTGGTCGATTCCACACCGTTTCTTTCACAATGCAATCGCATAACCAGAACTCAACTTCATCTTTAAATCAAATGTGGGGGTGGGGGGGTGGGGGAGGAGGAAAGAAAGAATGAAAGAATGAATGTAAGACATAAAGGATTAATTGATGAATGAATGACAGAAAGAAGGAAAAAATATAAAATTTCTAGAAATATAATGGAAGAAAGATGAAGAGAAAAGAATAGAAGAAACAGAAAAAGAAAGAATGACCTATGGAAAGAAGGAATAAAGAAAGATAAGCAAGAAAAGAAAGAAAGAAATAAAATAAGTTAGGAATGAAAAAGGTGAAAATACAGAAATGAAGAAAGATAAAGGTTAATGAAGAAAGATAAAGAGAAAAGAAAAAAAAGAAAGAAAAAAAATACAGGAACAAAGAAATGAATAAAGAATTTCCCTCTTTTTTCAACAAGTGGGGGGGGGGGGATATATATATTTGTTTTAATTGTACAGATTCCTGAATGTGTCATCTGTTCACTTATAGGCCTACTCCTTAAATGATCTCATCTAAAATATCTTGTTCTTTTTCACAGGCCGGAGACCACAAATACCACCCGACCTGTGCAAAGTGTGGTCGGTGTGGCAACCACTTCAACGAAGGAGAAGATATGTTTGTACAAGGTATGTCAACATTGCGACAGGTTGTGAAGGCCCATGAATTACATTATCTAAGCATACATCTAGACCATTTTTCTGTCTCTTCTCATTCTCACTATTTCTCTCCGATTTTGTGTTGCATTCAATTTTAATTTCCTGTGTTCATATTTCTGAATGTGGTTGCATTTTTGCTGGAAGCTAGTGGTTCCGGTAGCCCTCTATTCATAGTTTCTTTTACATATTTTTTTTTTAATGTACAATATGAGCAAATAAACATTCATATGAACATAACTATCTGAAGTATCTTTTATCTACTAAGAATAACAAGAATCTGTTAGTGTTATATTGTTCTTTTGTTTCTATAACAGGCACAGAAATTTGGCATCCTGATTGCAGGAAAGGAAGGGTAAGTATATAAGTGAAGAAGATTTTTTTGTAATAATTTGATAACACATTTCCAACAGAGATTAAAATTATTCTTAGGGCTTAGTACATGTAAAAAAAAAAAAAAATTTAAATAATAATAATTTTGGTTTTGATTGATTTGCAAATAGGTTAAATGAAATGTAGAATAAATGAAAACAATTGATTTGAATCAACAATAGTTTATAATGCAGTTGCCATTATAAGTATTTTTAACATGAAATCATTTTAAAAATTCTATTTTGAACCATCTATTTTTTCCTTTATCTTCAAAATCACGTCTACTTTTGTTATTCCTTTTCCTTTGGACAAAAATGAGACAAATGGAGGGAAAACATTAAAGCACATTATCATGATAATTAGAGATCACCTGTACCATTCCAGAACGTGTTGTTATACTCTTTGTTGAATGTTAGTGTATGCATTTTGTTTTTTATCTGTAAAAAGTTTTTACAATTCACTAAAAGTGTTGAATAAATATACCTCTAAACAAAGAAACAGTAAACAATATCAATGGTTTCATCTAGCAAATTTTAGGTGAGTGATTTGATTGTGATATGTTTCTTAAAATCCTCAGTGTTACTATTATGGTTCATACATCATAATCACTTTTGTGTAGTAATAAAGACTTCAATCTAACAATAAAATATCTTGCAATTTGTTGACAGAAATATTTAAGACAACTTTCATAGACAATTTCATCCTGTAATCGCGATGTGCTGATAATTGATAGATTCATTCTCGATGCAATGACAATATAATTATATTTCTCATTCTTTCAGGCATTAGGTTTCTTCCCATCGAGAATCAGGGAGAACGCTATCTTATTTGATTACAATAGAGGAAAATCACAGGTAAGATTGATTGAATCTGATGCAAATTAGTATGTTATTGTGATAAGATTGATTAGATTGTCTGTATCCAGACGTGTATAATCATAGAAATATAACACCCTTCTGGCTCCAAACATACAAATTTTTTATATCAAAGTAATTCTTAAATGAAAAAACAAGCATCTGCTTTCAGCTTCATTTTGAATCGATGATTATGCAAAGTAGTTGTCAAATATTTTGTGTTTGCTCTGTGCTTTGTGAGAAGTTAGTTTTCTAGTAGGGTTGCACACTGTACACCATATTTACAAAAAGTTTAAGTGAAAGTGGTAGGAAAAGTAATTAATTGTTATGCAAATATTATTTTTTTGCACCGTCCCTACTCAGGAGTAATGGCATTGCCATCGTTAACAAATTACATGCATAGTGATGGCTGACCTAAAGGGTATGGAAGGTTAAAAAGGGAATGCAGTATTCAGTAAAAAAAAAAAAAAAAAAAAAAAAAAAACTGATGTAGAGTGGGCAACAAGAGTAGTGTGAAAAGGGGTTGTACATTTAATTTTATCATTACAATATAAAGATGTGATTAAAACATTTTATCAATTTATCTTTCTTTCTTTTGCTCTTCCTTTTTTATTTTATTTTCTTATATACCATTCACCTTTCCCTATATTTTCATTCCTTCCTCACCCCTCTCTGTCTCTCTCTCTCTCTCTCTCTCTGTCTGTCTCTCTCTGTCTCTCTCTCTCTCTGTCTCTCTGTCTGTCTCTCTCTCTCTCCTCCTCCTCCCTCCTCTCTCCACTCTCTCCTCTCCTGACCTTTTCTCTCTCCAGTCCACCCCGGCCTCCCCCGTCCTGGCGAGGGGGCACTTCCACACCCCTTCCTTCCTCTCCTCCCCGTCCCGCCGATCCTCCAACAGCCTTAGTCCACAGAGCCCAGATTACAGCTACACCTATCTGTCCCCCTTCTCTATCTCCAACACCATCTATCCCAAGCCGGTCGCGATCAGCCCAGAGGCACCAGTCAGCCCACATTTCCACAGACCAGGTATGTAGACCAGGACCTATCCCAATACTTTGTACTTTTTTGTGGTCTAGTGGTACCTGTAAGTTATAGGACTCTGGATCATGTGGTTCTTAACTCACTGATTATTTAGTTTAGCGAAGTGTCGTTGCAGGAAAAGACGCATCCGGAATGGAAAAGGCGTAATAGTTGATGTTTTTGAATTAATTTTTTTTTCTTTCAATTATAGATATCTGAATGAAAATTTTGCTAATATTAAGCCTGATGGGGATAGTACATGTATTTACCAGCTCTATATGCTAACAAAGTCATTTTAATTCGTTTTGATAAAGTTGTGATTTAAAACAATTATGCCTTTTGCGTTCCGGACGCGTCTCTTCATGCTGCTGCATTTCACTATAAAGCTACCTTACTGAATTCTCTGTTTCCTGGGGGCTGTGAAGGCTAATACAGGAACAATCTAGTAAGCATAGCTAATGAGTTCATAACAATGATACTGATAATAACAAATTGTATGGTGCTGTCAATCTAGAACTTCTATTCTGAGGCACAGAATGAAAATAGAGCGAAAAACAATCATCTATATGGTTCTTGGTTCAAGTTTGACATCAATCTACATTTGCCTCTCTCAACCCAGGTGCGGTGAATGGGTAAGAAGGTAGTTCTTGAATGCTTTCAGTGCCAAAGGAAGCTTAGTTTAACTTTAGGGTGTTACTGGAGCATTGAGCATTTCCTGTGATATGTGTGCAATCTAAGTGAACTTGATTATTACGGTTATTTATGTGCCTTTCAGAATTTCTCATTGTTTTAACAATTTATGTTTTTTATTTGGTATACATTTATATGTGAACCTAGCATATTTTGTGATTTGCAAGCTCAGTTACAGCGGTATAAACTTTTTGCAGATGGACAATAGTAATATGTTGGAAAGAATATTACATAATTATTGATTATGATTGGTAGCTTATCATAATGTAAAGGGACATGTAGCAAGGCTATGTGCATTGATGAATGCATGAATATATATAATGTCTGTATAGTTTTGTCTACAGATATAAGTATCTGGATGAGATTTAAATCACAGTTTGATAATGCACACCTTGCCACTATCACTATGACATTATTAGCATGATGCACAGGTATCTCTGAAATTATTTTTCAGAGGCAAGGATCTTTTGTTTTAAATTCTCCTTCAAAGCTCGTGTTCTTTACACCATTCTTGTAAGCTTTACCGTGTGAGTAAAAAAAAATGTTTACACCTAGAAAATTGCTAATTATTTAAAAAATCATCTATGAACAGCTAGTATATCATTATACATCTTATGAAAGAGTGTTTTATCCCAAATCATTTGGTATCATTTTTGTGTGGTATGTGTTCACGCTTCGAGGAACAGGAGGCATTGTTTGCAAGAGTGCAAAAATTGACTTGCGCCAAAGTGATGCCTACTGTATGTATTATGTGGGGATTAGCAGAGTGAGAGAATGAATTGAATGTATCAAATGAAATGCATTGCATATGCTTTTTGCAGAAGCAAAGTCACACAAACACACACGCACGCGCGCACAAATGTTTGTTGATATTTAATATTCAATATTTGATATGTGTGGCATGATTAATTATGTTAGGGATGTTATTTGGATCCGCAAAGACCGAATTAATACCCAAATCCCAATTGTTTTATTCAAAAATCACATAAGCAACTTTGGCGCGAGTCGATTTTTGCACTCTCGCAAACAATGCCCCCTGTTCATCCAAGCGAGAACACATACCACACAAAAATGATACCAAAGTATTTGGGATAAAACACTCTTTTCATAAGATGTATAATAATTTACTGTTCATAGATGATTTTTAAAATAATTAGCAATGTTCTAGGTGTAAACTTTTTTTTGACTCACACTGTATAGGTCAGTGGTTGTGCAAAAGTTACAAAAATAACAGAGAATTCCACAAATTAGCATCCTATAATTTTGGGATAAATTTGATCAGGGAATTCAGTGTTCTTCTGGAAATTATGGTTAGGTACATGTATGAGTATATTCTGTGAAACCCAAGGACCTATGTACCTAAGGGACCTAAGTTATGATAACTGAAGCCCTAGCTGTGCTGTTGGTTCTCGCATCGATGCCTCTGTCTGCAAAGTGGAGATTAGGTATTGGGTTACGCACTGTTGGCAAGTTGACCATGAGATGGCGCTGTGCAATAAACAGTATGCTGGGGGAGAAAATTCATCAGTTCAGCATCGCTTTAAGAATAAAAATGATCAGTTGCTGACAGCTAGAGAGAATTCAAGTTTTCAACAAAAAAGTGAACATGAAAGACAAGTGTTGAGAAAATATTGAACTTGGCTCCTAATAAAAATAAGGCTTATAACTTGAGCCGTGAATTCATTTACATAAAAATGATGAACCGTATTACCCCTTTTCCATAAATGCAGGCAAATCATGATATTGCTGGTTGAGATTGAAAAGGGCCTTAAGTCTAAAGACAACATTAGACTGAAGACCCTTCTCATTATAAACCAAACATTTCCTCCTTTCTATTATCCTATCACATCAGGGGTGTTTCACAAAGAACCTAAGTCGAACTTAACTTAAGTTGAACATTAACATTATGGAGAATCGTTTGTAGCCTTAAAATAAAATATATTTAAAAGCAAAAGTTCAAGTATTTTAGACTTTTCATAAACTCTACATCAAGAACATGAAATCTCCTTGATGATAGAAAATGTGAATCAACATTTCATGCCTTTTAAAATAAATTTTACAAAATATTTTCAAAGATGCTAATGGCTTTCCATAGTTGTTAAGTCCAACTTAGAGATAAGTTTATCTTACGATCTTTGTGAAACACCCCCCCCCCTGATCATAGGGGTAGTCTGAATGATGACATTATTGTATTTCTCGCTCTTTTCACGATATTTTAATCATTTGATGTGTATTTATCTAATGGCGATGTGACAGCCTGCGTCGTAACCTTGGTCAGATCCTTGTCAATTACTTTTCTCCTATTTTTTTGCTATCATTTTTCCTCTTCTTTTACTTTCTTATTTTGTGGCACCCGCTCTGTCGTGTTGGCATCTCCACAGAATATGTAAACAATGGTAATACAGAATACACTTGTTTACTTATTATGCATGTGTATACATACATGTTATGGTATATGCATGATGTTTGGAAGTATGCTTGCCAGGATGCTTGGTGCTTTTTTTCCTTTTTCCTTTTTTAAAAATTTTGTTATTTTTGCTTTAAAAGGCACATCATGATAGCGGTAGACTTTTTATGATTTATTTTGTTTGTTAGTAGAGGAAGCAAGACAAAGGTTTACTGAAATGATTCCTTAGTTCATGATTTATGTATGAATAGGAATATATTGCGGCCATGGTATTTTTTAAAGAAAATATAATTGTTTATTTTGTACAATGGATTGTGTACTACTGTAGATAATATTAGAGACGTTTTTCTTTTGCATTGAATTATCAAGTAACATGTTGATTCATTTTGCACTGTAGGGACTATACTGATTAAAAATGAACAGCGTATCGGAGGGTTTAAGGCTCTTTAGGATTTCATAAAAAAATACATTAAAAACACATCATTTTAGTTTGCACTTTGTGGTTTGACAAACAGTTTTACCCTATATACTTTTACAGGTGAATTTTAATCTGCTATTAAAACCTTCCATTGCTCTCCCATCTCTATGAAACCCTTGAATAGACCTCAGGAAATCATAAATACTAACCCCCAAAACCTTCTTCCCCCCGCCCCTATTTTTTTTTTTTTTTTTACTAGCGCTGATTCATTGTATTTTAGTACAGTATGTGATCAAATGGTTTTGATCCATCTAGTTATAATCCATCTAGATCCTGTCAATGTGATCATCTGTTATTTCTCAATTTATCACAGTAACAAAATGTCAAGGAAATCTATGCAAACAGCAGAAAAATAAAGAAAGAGGTCAACATTTTTGTTTGCATCTTAAACTTCAGTCTAGCGGTATATGTGCATGAAATTTACTGATATTTCATCAGTAAAGTACATCAACTTGATTAGTTTTATGATTTTACTAACATACTTAGATTCATAACGGACATCATCTTTGCAAGCATACATTTTGTAAATGTGCATGTTATCTGTCTTAAAAAAATTGATTGGACAAGAATAGCACCATAGTTTTCACTGCAATATTGCATTGAACTAATATCAGATTTAATCATCCTTTAAAAACATACTTTTACATATTGTCTTATGTTTTATAAAGACGATGATTGGGCAATACACCAGTTTACAGTTGTATCAGTGCGCATGAGCAGACAGTTGACCTCGGGTCATTGGCCCCGGAACAGGGCCAAATTGGCCCTGTTCCGGGGCCAATGACCTCTGACCTCTGGTATTTATGCGTAAATTAAGATTGCGCCCTTGCAAATGATGATATGCGCGCACAACGCAGCGCGCAGGCAGTGATATCATCATAATTTGCATGGGCGCAATCTTAATTTACGCATAAATACATGACCTCTAGGTCATTGGCCTTGTTTAAAATGGCGCACACAACTGTAAACTGGTGTATTCTTTGAAAGCATATCAATAATAAATGAGGTAATTTCTTTTAAGGCGTCAAAGTTGTGGGTTTGCTGTCGATGGCAAATATTCTGCACAGTAGATAGTTCTACAAAAGAAATTTTGTTTCTGTGGTACAATGTTTAATCAGTTTGTACCTTTCTTTCTTCTTAGTCCTTGTTTTCTTTTGGGAAAATGTAGCTGGTATTTTAATGGAAACGATTAATTTCTCATTGAACCAAAAATGTGTTTGCTGCATGAATACGATCTTTAAGAGCATGATGTTATGCAGGTCTTTGAAGCATTTTGAGTTGCACACCAGGGGGTGTTTCACAAAGATCCTAAGTAGAACTTAACAGTAAGTTTGACTTAAAAATTATGGACAGCCATTGGAGCCTTAAAATGAAATATATTCAAAAGCAGAAATTGAAGTATTTTAGACTTTTTTTTTATAAATTCCACATCAAGAACATGAAATCTCCTTGATGATAGAAAATATGAATGATTTAAATCAACATTTTATGCCTTTTAAAATAACTTTTACAAAATATTTTCAAAGATGCTAATGGCTTTCCATAATTTTGAAGTCCAACTTAGAGATAAGTTCAACTTAGGATCTTTGTGAAACACCCCCCTGGCATTGAAACTCGAAACAAAATTGTGACCACTATATGCTCAGCTTTTGACTCTTAGTTGTCGATGTATACTGCCCTCTACAGGTGAAGATTTTTCGTACATGTCGCCTCCGCGATATGACCTTCCCCCACCACGCCCTGGTAAGGATCCCACTCTTTCAGCACTGTCTTCCTTGTGCATTTTCAATTGAAAAATCAGCATTGTGTTGCAATTAGTGCCTGCATATTTTTCACATGAAATGTTTAATAAGAAAAAGAGAAAGAATTTTATACTAATCACAGAGTCCTAACCGTTTTGTTTTTGTTCTGTATCGACCTTGCACTAATGTAGGTGATGTAGAAAAAGTAATTGGATCTAATTCAACTCGTTACTGACTTGAATATGCGTGTTCTGTAGATGATATGGAACATGTGTATTTTTTTCATTATCTTTTTGTCTCGTAAAAGTTACGACATCTTCCCTTTAGAGCCAAAAGGGAGTTGAATTTGTATTGGAGTACAAGTTAATAACTTTCTGGCTCCAAACAAATGAGAACTATGATGAATTTTACTGATACATTTAATACACATCTATACATCTACGATCTACAAAGAGGATGTTGCTTTCATGATATTAAAGAAGGGAAATATAAATTGAATTTTCACTGTTTCACAATCGCAAAGCTGTTTTACCTGTGAGGCTTTTGCCTACTCGTTGCTGCAGGCATCATCAGACTGATGTTTTATCGCCACAAGATGGGGTAGTACGACAGTCTTGTAATTCTGAACTTTAGTCCCATTTGCACGGAAGTTGGACCCAGAGGCATGCAGCTTCTATATGGTGTATACATTACATGTTCTGTTCACTTCACACTTGTACATGTTTGCAAACTTTTTTTTACATTGAATCAACAAATGTGAATACTTCAGGTAGTTTTAATAGCCAAATGTAAAGTGGCATGTAAAAGATACCTCCAGAACACAAAATGAAACTGGGAGTTGTTGAAAAGTCATAATTTTATCACGCAGAGGTGTAGAACCGCATCGTTAGGATAATGGACCTTGTATATACATTGCCGTCTCAATGAGGCCTAATGTTAGCTGAAATTTCTTTCAGATATATGTCAAAAGAGAACTTTGAATAAACAAACATCACTAATTATTATACCTTTTGCATCCCGGCCGTGTATACTTATGCCACTGTTTGCATTTTGCTTTAATTGCTCCCCAAGGAGCATGTGTGTGTATTAATTCTGCTTATTTCATTTTTGTCTTGCAAACGATAGAATAATTGATGCATGTGAAGAGATTTATTTGATGGTATTAATTTATTTGTAATGTACACAGTTTATCGAGCATGCATTTTTCAGTTTCACAGCCTAACAATTGTTCACTCATTTTAGATGTTCCACAGGTGTGCAATCCGCAGCAATTCACTTATGATTTTTTTTATTTTTAAAGTTAATGTTTAATCCTGATGATTGTTTTCAATTGCAGCAAATCAATTGGATGTTGACAGTTTCATATTTTTGGTTTAATTAATGCATCTTTGTGAATATTTGTTTGTATTTTTAACAGAATACAACCCGCATATCTGCTATACCATGCCTACGTTTTATTGGTAGTGATTCTTTATGGCTGTTTCACAGTTTCTTCTCTCAGTTACGAGTGAGGAAAAGTGCACCAGAATGAAATTTGAAGAAAAAAAACCAACATAAACTTTTTAAGCATACTTTTGTCTTTGGAGACCCAAAATGGATTTAACTCATTTCTTACTATTTCATTTTGTGTTTGTTTCACAAACCATTCAATTTAATTCAATTTAAGTTTTGGTTTTATTGTTAAAAAATCATGGCAAAAGTCCGGACACTAATATTGTCATATTTATAGTAAAATACTAGAAAACATAAAATAAGGTTATAAATGTCATGTTTACATATAGTAGTTTAATAACAACTAAAAAGAAAAATATGATTTAAACCATGATTAAGAAACATATTATAAATATAACTTACAACATAATTCAAATCATGCATTACAATAATAAAGCCCTTCCTGTTCAGAGCAGACAAATTGAAAACATGAGAAAAACTAAAATATAAACATTATTCAATATATTCATGCCTTTAGATGATGATGAACACGATATACGAAAGGCCTCTGTGATTGCAGCATATTGGTTTTCTACATTTTTGGAGAATTTGTTGAAATATGAACATTTGTGTATTTCTAACAAGAAAAATGTCTGAACTAACTAATAATTTGCATGTTAATTGCTTCTGTTTCAGATCTAACATATTCAGAAAGACTTCAAATAATTGCCCATTGGTGTGCCCCTGTGTGAATGCTTATACAGCTTGAGTAATAATTATTTTATAAATAGATACAGATGTGCTGATAAATATCTGTTTAGGATACATGTATATTTTCCAGATATTCTTGTGAGAGTATCATGATTAATACTCAAAGAAAGGGTCGATTAATAGATATTTAAAACAGTATTAAAATATGAAATTGAAATATCTGAAATATTATTACATGATGCATTTTCTTTCTTTCACAAAGGTTTTCTGTTAAAAGAGATAATGAGTGTCAGTATGAATACATTATCAATTGTGATGAACACATACTTGTTGATGTGATACAATAGGTGGGGCACCTGGGAAAAGCTTATATATTTTTCACTAAAACTCTACAGTCTGTTAATCGTGCTGATACCTTAATCTTTACATACAAGTTCATCATTTGACAATCTCTTCCAATCTCTATCTGACCAATCAGGGGGCTACAAGAGAAGACCGCGCCCACACAGTGCGTTCGATGCCCTCAAACCAAAGATCAAGCCAGTGAAGGACGAGGCCTTGTCGGCTGAAATGGTCAGGCAGTCGAAGTTTCCGGCTGCAAAGAAGCCCAGCGCGAGCCAACCAGCTAAGGTTAGTTGTACCATCATTTAGATTTTGGTTATCCACTGTTAGATAATTTGGTGGGATGGTCACAGTTTCTGGCTGTAAAGAAGCCCAATCCAAGCCAACCAGCTTACGGTCGATTGTACTTTCTTTGTAGTTTTTGTTGCGCACTGTTGAATAATTTTGTCAGACAGTCAAAGATGCTGGCTGCAAAGAAGCCCAAATAAAGCCAACCAGCTGTGGTAAACTGTACCATTAACTTGTTGTAGTATTTTTGTATTCACTGTTCAATGATTGTGTCAAACAGTCAAAATTATTCGACAGTGTAACTGCCACGGAGACCAAAAATCAAACTGTTTTAAAACCTGTACAAAACGCCTTGACAACCAATTACATGACATTTTGTATAATGGTGAATATTTGTGATTACCATAGTAGCTATTTAAGAAAAGAAAAAAAAAAGTTTTAAATTAGATTACATTTGATCACTCTCAGTTTATCACATACTCTGTGCTCAAAACTATAGATGTAATTATGCTTTTTGGATCAAAGTATAATGATGCAAATTGTTTTATAACTTACCTGTATCATATCAAGATTATAGTTAAAAATTAAGTACATTGAAAAAGCACATCCAAGTCTATTGGATTGTAACAATATTTTCAATGTACCAAGATTTACTTCATTCTTTTCTTGTTTTCAGTAGACAAATTATTCATTAAAAAAACAAAGAAAAGAACTATCAATCTTTTGTAATCTCTTGTACAGATTGAGAGTGAGATCTGGCCCGGACCGCCAGCCTTCGCTAAATACCAGTTCCACTCCAGCAGGAGTAAGTCAATGGGAGACCTACATAACAGTGATGAGGAGGAGGAAAAACAAATCGATGCTGAGGTGAGAAAACAATAATAAATGATGATAAATATTACTACTGCACACTTTCTGATAAAATACCATGGAGGTGCTTCTTTATACCGTCACTGTCATTTGAAGTATGAGGAGAAGAACTCTAAGAGATGGAGCAGCATGGAGGTTGATTAAAAAGAGGTTGAAAATCAAGAACGGGGAACAATAATAATTCCTGACGAAGGATAGTCAACCTGTTCGAAACGTCGAGCCACTCATCCTCACTAAGCGCTATAGTTCTCCTTAGAACTATAAGCTAAGAAAGATAACAAACAGTCCTTTTCAGGACTACACACACCCGCAAGAAAGAGTCAGAGTCCTTTCTAGGACTCCTCAACCCTCTCTCTCTCTCTCTCTCACATGGTGCACCCGCAAGCCTACTGTATAAATAATAATTTTGGAGAATGGAAACAAACGTTTTTGAAGGAAGAGGAGAATGCATGATCAACAAAAATAAGAAAGGAGTCTGAAGTGTACAAGAGGAAGAATAGTGAAATATTTGTGAAAATGGACTGAAGGGAAGGAGACTTGTGAAAGAGAAATAGTATGTGACACCAGGGCCCCGTCTTATAAAGAGTTGATATCAATCACAACTTGTTTGCGATTGATATCAATCGTAACTATGTACATAAGAGAAAGGAAACTGCAAACTTGCCATTGATTGGAGGATTTACGATTGATTTAGATGAATCGTAACTCTTTAGACGACAGGGCCCAGAAATGAGGGAGAGAAGTGAAACTGTTTTGGTTGTTGGCTCTAGGATACAACATAAATATTGGTGGTGTCTTTGTGAACATTAATGACCAATCAAAATGCAGTAATGTTCCGATTTCAAGTTCTCTTTAGAAAGTACTTTAACATTGCTGCTGAGAACTGCCATAGCATGATTCTTCAGGAAATACATTCTCAGGAAAAGATCAATCCATTTGTATTATATATCCTTGATTTATTCGGTTTTCCCTCAATATTCATCCCTTTCTCCTGCTGTCTCCTGGTGCAGGTATCAAAGGTAGATTCAGCGCTGGGCAAAGAGATCTTAAAGGCTGAACTCAAGCAGAGAAAGATCAGTAATCTAGACCCCAGGAGTGCCTCAAGAACACCGGCAGCTAACAAAGAACTCCCCGTCAGCCCAAGGCATGAATCCTCAATGGATGCAGGTGAGAGACCAGATATGATTACCTTTAATCCTTTTTTTTTTCTTTCTTTTTTTGTATTTTGTATTTTGTATTTTGTATTTTTTTTTTTTACTGATGGTTATAATGAAGATGATGATAGTGATTCATACGTTCTTTACCATTGCTTATTATTTCCTCATATACATGTAATTCAGAATTTTTACCTGGCTCTGACAGCCACTATTGGCTTTAGCCAATGACTTGTGCATGCACGATCTGTTCCGAAATGTTGAGGGGTCGAGATTAATGAAAGCTTAATGCCACAACGTAATCAAATCTCACCGCCTTTTTTTTTTAATTAAGAAAAACCCTTCATGCTTCAAAAGTGGCTGTCATTTACAATTACTAAATATTGATGATTTTCTGATATCAGGGTCCCATTGCATACAAATTACCATTGATAGTAACTTTGCCATTAATACTCACTTCCATGGATGGAGATCTTGATTTGTTTGGCTGGTGAGTATTGTTGCCTTGGTAATTGATATTGATGGCAAAGTTACCTTTAGTGGTTCGTTTTATGCAACGGGCCCATGGTGTTGCGCATGATGAGGAATCAACCCTTCACAAAACTTGTCATCAGTGACAAATCACAGTTTTTGTTATAAGCTACTTAAATCCTTGCTTCTGATTGGTTATCAACAGATTTGTCACTGGTTTTTGTTATTTTTCATTGAAAAAAGGCTATTCATTTTTATACACATGGGTCTAGAGAGTGAATTGTAGATAAAATGCTGAATCACACCAGGCAAGAGGGGGGAACTTCAACCCCTCCATGGCAAAAGGTCATTGGAACGAACCTAGATGCTAATAAGGATTAATCGTTTTTTTTATGATAACAGGAAGGGATAGCTTTGAGTTATTTCTGTCCAATATAGAACAAATTTGCTTGATTTAAATTAAATGACAACAAAGTCCCAGCATAGTGTGACATTAGACATCATTTAGATTCATGCCTGAGATCAATAATATCCATTCATCCATCCATTACTTCATTTTTTATGAAATCTAGTAAAAACATCTTACTTTAATAGCAACATGTTCAAAATGGAAGCATGATACATGTAGTTAACGAAAGAAACATAGACCATTGAAAATAGATAATGATTTTATCTCACTGTTCCAACAGGTTTGTCCTATGCCTAAATGCAACCATACTACATTGCCATGTTTCTGTTTTACAAATAGCACCATGCAAAATTTAGGAACATTCAACAAGTTCAAATCTGCATTAGATAGCACAGCAATATTAATTATTAATTAATTAATTTATTCATTTACACATTTGATGTCATCTATAAATTCACCCAATTTTGAATGAAGAGAAACTGTATCATTTATCTTGTGTAATTCTTCTTGCTATTATTTTTTGTATAAAACATGCAGACTCTCTGTCTATGGAATTTGCGATGGGGTAGTTTATCATAAGACAAAGATGCTCATCGTTTTATCATAAAAAAAAACATCAAACAACATCATATTTTTGGGCATTGGTAAAATTATCCACCATTGGGACCTTCAGTCCACTTCAGTTCACTTAACTCAACCGTTTAAAATCAAATATACAAAGCATGCAATACAAAATAAATGGTTTCAAAACCCTTAAAAGCAAAGGCTTGAAAAAAATGGAGCATCCAATAAATTTACAAAACAATCCAAACTTTATTAACTTATCTCATCAGTGTCAGGCTGTTCCAAAGGTACCATTGTGTGGATAATTCTTTCTAATGCCCTCACTGATGTATATTGGTTGGTACACTATTGGTTTATGTAACAAGGATAAGACCAGTATCTAGTTGTATGACTTGATGTTTGGATGTGAATTATCATTCCCATTCACAGTGGCTTTGAGGCATCGAAGATTTAGAGGTAAGAGGGACAGGTTAATATTGACCCTTCAACCCCCTTGTATTCAAATGGTATCACCTTGTATTCCATTGCTTACCATGGCACTGGCAGGTCGTACCATTACATGTGTAGGTGAAAATATCTTTACTATGTAGGAGCTTTTTCTGTGCTGGTGGAAATTTCCTAATTTCCTTGGAACTTTTTTCAGCATTCAAGTCTATGGAACAGCAGGCATGACATTTTCTGTTGCTCTCTTACCTTTAAATTGCTGAATATGCTCAAATTAGTCCAAATTAGTCCATCAATAGTTGTTTAATCTTTTAATAGTACCTGGAATCACTCCTGTTTGACACCTGAAAGATACACTCAAACAACGCCCGCCCTCACACAAATCTAATTAAACATGCTTATATTTCAAGCAATTCATTCACTTATGCAGCTTATCTCCCTCCCCTATGCAACCCCACCCCCTCAAAAAACAATGGGAGCACCTAAATTTTATCTATATATATATATATATATGACCATGCACAATTGGGCTATTCCATTATTAGTGTAGGGGGAAATATATCTTTCCATGTGCCCTTTGAATTAAGTGCTGAGTTGCATGGTGCAAATTCTGACAAACTCTCGCCCTGCCTTTTGGTTTCAAGGCTAGCATGTAAAGGATTAAAGTCCCCATGAAACTGTGGGGTTGAAGGGTCAAAGGTCATAGGAAGTCAGCGATATGATGGAATGAAAGAATGGTTCTGCAATTCACTTGCATGACTTATTTTTTGTTTCTTTTTTCTCTTACTGCTCTTAATTCATGCATTGTGGTATGTTCCAAAAGGACAATGGCTGAATGTATTTTGAAATTGTCAAGTTTCCTTGCTGGTGGATCAGTTACTCAGTTATGGAAATATTACAGTTTATTACCATACATATTGTTCAAATAAAAGGATTCTCTAGAGTTATAGATGAAGACAAATTAAAAAATCTTTCTGAAAATGGTTCTACAGGATTGTACCACAATGTATTTTATTTGCTGAGAGTCAAATGGACTTAACCTCTGTGTGAAATGACAGGAGTTAATGCCCTTCTGGCTCTCAACAGACGATTTATGTTTTGTTTATTTTTCTGACCCTCCTTTTCCCCCCAAACAGATTCTTGTGAATGTATGCATGATTTTAATTTCAGATTTCTCACTTCCAAGTGAATTAATTAAAAATGAAGAAGAGATTTCCACTATGGAGATCCTTCTTGCAATGGAGGGCAGGGGGAGGAGGAGGATGATGTTCTACTCACAGAGAGTGTGGTGGTGTGTTTAATTCTCACTAATGTATAACCATCTTTTAAAAAGCACAAAAACATATTCCTGCGATATATTAAAATTTGTGGTGTGCATATTGCCTCTGAATTTTTCTTATTAGTACCAGAGGCTGCTATGCAATGTATATTATTTGAATCTAGATATACATTTTAATATTTTTTCAGAAATCAACTCAAATTTGAGCAAGAAAAAATGGTTTGCACACACTTTATTGACAGGAAAGTACTGAAAAGCAATTTTGAAACTACAAATATGCTTAATTTTTATTTGGGTATGACTAAAGATATGCATGGTCTAATCTACAGTGTATGTTTTATTTTGTTTGGCATTAGAATACTTAATACTAACCAAGAACAGAGATACCAGTTATGCAAAGCAGCCACCTTTGGGGTATGAAAATGACAGCCAATTTACACCTAGGCACAATGAAATAATGAGGATTGAAAAGATTCTGACCACCTTTCAGATAAATTATCATTCAAATATCTCTGACGAGAAAAAAGGGGCCCATAAATTATTCATACATTTGTAGCTGTTTTCATCCCGGCTCTTTGGGGAATTTTAAAGAGCCATTATTTAAAGAGGCTGCTTTATCATGCCCCCTCCCCCCCCCCCCCCCTGATGGATGTAGTTAGGGTTGGAGGAGGGGGTGGGGGGCTCCATCAGCCTCCCTCCCTGGATTTGCTTTTGCCATAAATCAATGGTCAAACGCAGTCCTCCTCTTGCCCTGGGCTAACACAATTTCAAGTGCCCATCAACGTAACTATACACGTCTTAGGATACCGGTGAGCTGTGGAACACACTAGCCTAATTACTTTTAAAACTGAATCAGAACACGCAGAGAAGAACTAGGTTAACCAAATCATCAATGATCATACTTCAATAAGACTTCCATCTACCAAGTTACCAACAAGAATTCTCCCTCCCGTTCTCTCCTTTTATGTTTCATTATAGATTTAACACAAATCATTTTCTTTAGTACTCTCAGTCATGGACATGTCTAGTAGATGAGTTTCATGTGTCAATAAAATGTGCAGCCTGTTTTAGGTTCATCAGTGAAAGAAAAGTAGTTTTTTACTTCAATCCTCAATTTTCCCATCATGATTATAACCTAGTCTTAATAGAATCATTACTACTTTTTGTAACTTCAACTGTGACTTTTAAATTGTCTCAAAAGTGTAGAAATCATAATCTGTTTTTATCATTAGTGTCTTTTTGAAATTCTGATCACAAACAATGATCTTGTGCTTAGAAAATTCATAAAGCTATCTTCTTTGTCCGTCAAAGACTTGAGATATTCTATTTCTTTTGTTGCCTTCTACTTCGCTTTATAGATTCACCTAGAAATGATTCTATTTTTTAGATATCATATTTCTAACATAGAAAGCAGAATATATATTTCAAACTTTGCAGTAGGATCTTCTGAAAGTCATGTGACTATATTCAGTAGATAGCAATTCCTTCAAAAATGTGTAGACATATTATTATATATTTTGTGCTTGTTTATGTAAAGTTTTAATATCTGTTATCTAACATTATTTGCCAGTATAGTAAGTAATCATTTCTTTATATTCTTTGATACAAGGGGGTGAAAGATATAGTTTAAAATACATGGAATTTACTTTATATTTTGTCAATGGTTTCTAGGTGGTGATCCTCAGTTATCATAACTTTCTATGATAAGCTGATGATTTTAAAAGATTGATATTTATTTGAAAAATATTTCCACTTCTAGAATCTATTTTTTAAAGGATGTAGTTGATACAAGTTTTTTCCACAATTTATTTTTCAAAATCTGACAGAGTATACTAACATGCACTGTTCAATGCATGTAGTTTTGTTTTCAGAGTGAAATGATTTTTAATGAATCAATATTATTTCATTCTGCATGGTGGGTTTTGTAGGCAAAACATTGTGGACAAATTGGAAGGTTATTAGTTGAATGAGAAAGTGATATCAAATGGTATGTTATTGCCTTGCTAAATGTGGATACAGGTTTAGGGAAATGAATCTTGTGTTTCTTTACCAGGGTTGCCAAATTGCCTCCCATTCAAAGAGTAGTTTCATGGGCAAAATATTTGACAAACATTTAAAAGGCAATTGTTTCGTATAGACTTGTAATTAGCAGTCAATTTTTTTAAATATGGTTCAAGACTTATTGAAAACAAGAATTGAACAAAAAAGCAGAAAAGGGATGCACCATTCTCTGGCAAGCAAAACATTCTGCCTTTTTTTATGTACTTCGGGATAACTAGATTGGGTTTTAAAGGCTGGTGGGGAATGAGTTGGATTTGTCCCCCCACCCCCCCCCCCCCTCAAATCCATGAGCCATTTTGAAGAGCTTAATATGACCTTTGCCTACCATGGGTCGGTTAAGGGTCACCAAGTGCCAACATGTAATATAGGATCATTAATAATAGAGGAATATGGTAGGACCGTTGTGAAGTCGACTCACTTTGGGATTGCTTTTAATTTGTTTTTTTGAATCATTAGAAAACATGATGACACCACCAAGGAGCTCCACCCTTCCACCAAACCTGAGATACGAAAGCCTGGTAAGATTGATCGTCGGTTGCCCGCAAGAGGGCTCCTACTGCCATTGACAATACACGCTCATTGTGTCCTTCTTGCAGGCAGTCAACGAAATGCACCTATTTTTGTTGTTGATGCCGCTCCTGTTCTATATATTAAAAAACCCACTGTAGCTGTCTTCTTTTCACAATAATGATGAAGGGATCATGTTCCCCTAAACAACTCTCCAATATAATAATATTCGGTTTTTTATATAGCGCTCAATACATCGACCCAACGATGTGCCTATAAAACGCTTTACAGATATATTACCCTGGTCATCGGATTCAGGCTTACCCGCACACAATGTATGCACATTTTCCACTCCCTGGGGAGCATTCCAGTCAGAAGGTCACATACTAAGATTGTTATTCTATATATTTACCCTGACAGAGTGAAGCATACAGGAAAGCCAGCTCTCTACCCATGAACGCCAGGAGTGGATCATGGTACAGTGATGGTAAGGGCTACTTAAGATGTCGTTTGACAGTTTTCTTTTGGAGCGATGGGGTGAGAGGAGGGTGGCAGGGGAAGGGACCAATGGGGATCTTAAACTTTATATGCCAACATAATTCATTACCCCTTTTTCTTCAAAAATACTGAATTACTTTGTTTTTTGTGGCAAAGGGGTTTTCCTCCATACTTGAACATACATTTACAGTGTAGTTACAACCCTACAGAAATACTAAATATTGCTGAATTGTGGGAGGGGGGAGGGGGGAGGGGTTGATTGATATTAGGCAAAGACAATTTTGTTCCCCTTTCTCATCAGCGATACTGAATTGATAAATTGTTTTTGGAAGAGATCTTCATCATTATTTGCCAAAACAATATTGCAGCACTCTGTTGCACTTTGTAGCTCTGTGAGTTCATTTCAATTGTGATAACATATCTGTGATGGAAGATCTTAATTGTCAAAGAGCTGCATGAATCGGCAGCACACAGAAGGTTTTAAACTGATCAAACTGGTCAAGAACTCTTCTTTCTGTGAACAAAATTCACTTTTTTTAGATGTTGAACAAAAATGAATGCAAAAAAAAAGAATGCAAAATCTGACCAGTGCAGGATTGTAATTTCTCCATCCATCATCCATCTCTTCCTCCCAATTCCTCCTCGTGCCACAGCCAACTCGGAGGGCTACATATCCAACGGCTATGCAAGCAGCGGGGAGCTCTCGCCCAGACTGGCCAACATGAATGACCGTCAGCTGCGGACGTTGAGGATCACCACCGGTCAGTCCATGCCGTCCATGGAGCCTAAGGTACCTAAATCATCTACTAAGGCCGTAAGGATCGCTGCCCCCAAATATAAGTCCACCCCTAAGGGTAGGCCTGGGCCTGTAGGCCGAAGGTCCAAAGTTCAAGTAAGTTGCGGGGGAGTTGTGACGAGACCCCCCACGGCTCAAGCCGGATCATGTGCAAGATGGACGCTGGATGGCAATTATAGTGCATTTGGCATGCGAATACGTTGATAGGTCAAAGGTTACACATTCATACATCCATCCCTCTCAAAGCCTCTCTTACATGTACATGTCTGTAACAACAAAAAAAGTCTTTGGAATAAATTTGGACAGATTTTGCTAAAACTATGCTAAAACTTTCATCAGCAAGAGAGGCATATAAGCAGGTATATACAGTGCATGTATAACAAATTGTATATACAGTTCTTCAGTAACAAAATCTTGTTTTTGGAATAGATTCGGACAGATCTGGCTAAAATCACGTTGTCGGTTGAGATCCAGAAGGACTTTGATCCATATCAATTTACACAGAGTTGATACCCTTCTGGCTCTCAACAGATATTCGTCCAAAAAATGAGTTTGACGCCAAAAACATTGAACATGATAATTCTTTTGTTATCTTGTTTTTTAGAAGGGTTGAGATGGATGGTTCCTTATGTGAAACGAAATATAAAGTATAAAAAAAGTCCTTATTAACAAGATATTCACGATAGGAAACTGTCGTAACTCAAACAAAGAAGTTTCAAGAATGTCTTGGAAAAGCCAATCCAAGTAAAAACTTTTTTTTTTTTTTTTTTTTTTTAAAGTGATACTTGATTCTGAGCTTTGTAATATATTTAGAATTCATAGAGATTCAAACAGGGGAGTAGGTAGGTCACAATACTACATAGGTGTAAAGCTAGAAACTCTCAGTAGCAGACTTGCTTAAAGATAGAGAAACTAACCGCTTTCACGAAGCTAGAAAGGGATGTGTTTTTTTAGGTGTGTTTTTAAAGAGTGGACTACTAATAGTTGAATTAGAATTTAGAAAAATGAAAAAATGCTAAGCCAATTAAAAATTACCAAGTACTGAAAAAATATTTTCAAGGCAATACAAGTATGAAATATAAACACCAGTCTCAGTGTAGATAAAAATAGTGCAAATGCTATCAAGTAAATTCAGAATGAAAGAAAGAAGACAACAACAAAAAGACTGAATAATGTGCTGGGAACCAAAAAAGTGTTAAGTGTACAAAAAATAAATTATGTAAATGTATATGCCCTTCAGAGTCTCAGCAGTGTACTATCAGAACAAATATAATTATTAAAGAAGCTTAGTGTGATTTATAGTGGCAAGAAGAGATACGTCCGGAACGCAATAGGTGTATAGTGAGTAATATTTGTGAACTAAAAGTTCCTTTTTATATATCTGAATGAAAGTCTAGGTAACATGAGGCCTAATCAAGATAATACATGTGTTTACCAGCTCCAATATCCTTATGATGTGGTTCTGCCGCTATGTGATATCATGATCATATTTCAACCATTTTGAATTTTGCGTTCCGGATGCATCCTTTCCACTTCATTAACCTAAGCTATACTGTATTTTTTTGGAATGTATTTGCATATGTATATATAACCTTTACTAACATACCCATGCATGTCCTTTTGTCTTGTCCTGTCTCCTACTTACCTCTCATTGTATGACGATGTTACCTTGGCAACCGAACTAATCTCTCTAAACCTCCAGAAGAATGCGTCGACGTCAACAATGGAGAAGGGGTCATCCATGAATAATATGCCTCTGGTATGTTTACTAACACCATTGCATCTTGACTTGAGAATTCATATAAACCATAGCTGGTAGAGAAGAGATAGTTGCATCACCAGAAGTCGTGCTCGTTCAGAGTTCGTATTGATGGAGCGCTGAAATAGTTGCCATCCATAGAGATTGTTTGTGGGAGGGAACTATTTGAAGCTCCCATGATTTAACCTTTGAGTATGCATATGTCGCAACTATCTCTCTCAGTATGCTATGATTCATGTTTTATATATATACCCTAATTATTGATTGCATAAAACTTGCAAATGATTGCAAGTACACATGTACGTACATAGGGGCATCAGTAATGCATTGGATATCACAAAGGAGAGTAGATATTTATCTGATTGAATTTTTGTGGAGAATTAAAATAAGAAAAGCTATAATCACTCACTTCCCCTCCACCACCCACCAAAATTAACTAAGCAAAAGATTATGTGGCGTCTTCATCTTGTCTTTTGATTGCTGACATAGATTTATAAAGGTCACGAGACTTCAATTTAAACAAAAAACATAACAAAATAAAGAAAGAAATTCATGGCTCTTGGCTCTTCAGTTGATTAGGAGATCGTTGAACAACATTCCTTTGACAATATCCCTAGATGCAGTTTGTCTGAAATATTACCTTCCAATCAGTGGCCTATTTTTCATATTGGCAAATGAGTTGCATAGACTTCAGATGTAAACATATATTGTAACGCACCTTAATGCAAGAAGCTGTACATTAACATTGCCAAAAATGGGTCCTCGGTAAGAGCAGAAAATGCAATTCGTCCCAATTTGTAGTTCTCTCATTTGTGGGGATCTTCAGTGGATTTTGTTCATTTGTGAGCTTCATGAATCAATGTCCTTCTTCTTTTATCCATTTATGAGAAGAGTTTGTGAAATTTAATTCAATACACGTAAATTTACAACACCTTTGCAGGAAAATCCATGATTCATTTTTTCTCAGCCTTTAAGCACAAAATCTATGTAAAAACAAACAGTTTTAAATAAATTGTAATGACAGAATATTCACATTGGTTAAATCCATTTTAGGTACATGCATATAGGGAGTTAAACGTAGAAATAAAAATTGGTTATGTAATTGACCATTTTTTTCTCACTTTAGCTTTAACCGATTTCATTATCACTCTCTTTTTTTTGTTTTTGTTCAAATCAAACTAGTCAAAAATGGGAAGAGAGGTAATGAAATTGTTTTTTCTTTCCAGCAAATGTGCATTTGTGGTTTGATATATAAATAGGCTATATGTTACCGGCTTTATTTTTTTAATTCCACCCCATGCTCCTCTCCCCCCCCCCCCCCCCCCTCCTTCCAAGCTCCTGAATGGATAACTCACACCCACCATAGGAATGCTTGTTGCATCTCTTTAGTAACATGGATATAGTAGGGCTAGTATATCCATGCTTCGATCTAATCAGGGTGTGTTTTTTCACAGTGCAAGTAACATTTACTTATAAGATGCTAAAGAAAGGAGTTACTTCAACAGCATGCTACTGGAAGGTAGCAAACATTTGTCCAATTAGGTTATTTTATTGAATAAAATCTTAGATGTCCTGTTATAATTTGTTTTGCTATGGCAGAAATGTATCCATAATTGTATGGGTAGCAAAGATACATGTAAGCGAGACAAAAAGTGTGTTGAATATACAGGGTGTATCATAATAAAGGATATTGAAGTTTAATGACGATTTATATGGAAACTACTGATTTCATAATCAAGCACTTATGTCTGTTGTAAAGGACAGAATGTCCTCTTTTTAATGACACCCCAATCATACTTCTACTGTCACAGTTGACTGAATAACAAAGCATTGCTGTCCACCATGTGAAAGGTGCACTGTGACAAGTTAGCATTCAAAGATTAGTGCTTGTGTCAGCCCAGACATATTGAAATGCTGAACAATGAGTGGATTATGTGTCTAAGAAGGAAATGTTATCAAACTTGGCACAGTGCACCTTTCACATGGTGGACAGCAATGCTTTGTTATTCAGTCAACTGTGACAGTAGAAGTATGATTGGGGTGTCATTAAAAAGAGGACATTCTGTCCTTTACAACAGACATAAGTGCTTGATTATGAAATCAGTAGTTTTCATATAAATCGTCATTAAACTTCAATATCCTTTATTATGATACACCCTGTATATTAGGAAAATAGAATCGTCAGATGATTAATTCCAATTTGCATTTGCCAATTAATGGAAAGAGAAGATTAAATAAAAAGAGGGGTACTGCGCTTGAGGCGCACTTCATAAATTTGATTAATTTTCGCTTACAACTACCCAATATAATCAATTTAGATTGACATATTCCCATTTTAGTCACTTTCATTCGACTTTGAATGATATGATTTGCATCCAAAATAATCTTGTATCGAAAGAGCGATATCAATCATTTCTCAAAAACATATGTTCAATAGTTTTGCAGTTAATCTATTCTGTTAAAATAACTGCTTTGCATTTCTCTAGTTTCCCTGCCTCAGCCGTCCCTGGGGTGATTGGTTCTTGTTGTCAGTACTGAGTTTTATAATGATTTATGACACCGTACATCTCAAGGCTGCTAGTAAAATGTTGTGCAATTATTTTCCTCCCAGTGAATGTTGCATATGTACACTAGATAAAGTAGTTAACCTTGTACATATATGTATGTATGTATGTGTAATAAATTTATATTATGTTCAGATTATGGGACCATATCCTGGCTATGACTTACACCCCCCCCCCTTCCCACCCAGTCTCCCCAAGCCCCACCCCTCTCCTCCCCTAACCATGGCATATATATGCATCATATTCATCACAGATTGCTGACCATGCACTCGTAATAAGCCTTGTTCAGGTATGACGTGGCAAACCGCAAGCGATTTTGTTGTTGTAATTATGACGTAAAGTGTAATTCGCATCACATTTATGTATCTCATATTAGGCCTTTAATCAAATTTTATCTTGCGACCGACCCCAAAAATCTTCAAATCTACAGTCAGTTTTTAATTTTTTTAATTTAATTTTTTTTTTACTGTTTTTTAGAATTTAAAAAAAAAATGAATACACAAATATGTATTATATTTGTTTAAATGGGATTTAAATGCATAAAATCATCAAATTATTCCCAAATTCTCACTCGTTTTCTGCTCTAGTTTCAAAATACTGATAGCCCCCTGCCTCGTGTTTCTGCCCCAACTAGAAGCCAGGGAGATGTGGGCGATGTTCCCTGATTTGAGTTTAATTTTGGGCAGGATCTTTTAGTATACAGTTGCCATTCATTCAAATATTCATTAAAAACTGCTGCGGCGGCTTTGCAGCGGTTCAATTTGCCATATCTGAACGAGCCTTAATGGAATATGATATACAGTGTACACCTTAATTTTGCCCGCCCTTCAACTCCTTCTGTTGTTGTTACATCCGAGTAAACAAAGAATCCAATGTGTCGTTCAGGGGTTTTTTTTGTACTAGGGAAATTATATGGTAATTTGAGCTATTATGATGAAAGGCATGTTGGATGGTATATTTGGATATTCGGGCATGAGCATGCTGCATGGATATATCTAAAGCCCATTGATACATTGGGATGACTATATGGTGTAATGGATTCTACACTTTGCAGGAAGAGAACTTCCCATTTAAAGCCATACTGCCCTAAAAACACTACTGCGAAATCCGCTCTAGCGCCATCTTGGGTCAGCTGTAGCAGTATCTCGTCGTTGAGTCCTCTGTCTGCAAAATGGGAATTACGTATTGGGTTATACGCACTGTTGGCAAGTTGACCATGAGATGGCGCTGTGTAATTAATGGTACACTTGGGTAGACAGTTCATCAGTTCAGCATCGCTTTTGCACTTCTGGTGTAATTGGTCTTTGGGAAAAGGGCAGTTTCTTAGGGTCATCAGAAATATATTCATGCAATATGAGCTTGTAGATATTCTACCTCGGTTATATTCCTATATTTCCATAACTATAGCTTTTTCCAGGACATTTAAATTCAGGTATCGGTAAATAATAATTGTAATTGAGGAAGAGAGCCTGCTTTATGTCTGAAATGACGAATAAGTCATAAAACTACAAAAACATGGGAAGGTATTGATACCACTGATGCAACCTTGTAACTGTAATAATGCTCTCAAATAAACACAACTCGTATTAGCTTTTCTTACAATACAATACAATACAATACAATACAATGAACATTTAGGGCATAAACTGTATTCTGTTGCATAAACCCAAATGACGATGACCAATATGTTGTTTCCCATCT